CTAGAAGTGCCCACCGCTGACCGAGGATGATGGTCACCCAACGTCCGTTTCCATTCCGTTTCTGCGTCTAATTTCGGGCCAAGATTGTTTGGCCAAATCTCCAGGCACACATCATCAAGTGCGTGCGTGTGTGGGCCGAGTCACGCCCTCCGCCTCCGCCTCCGCCTCCGTTCGGGCACACACATTTTGCATAAATCAAACAAGCAAATCGACATGTAAACAACAATTTTTGCAAATTCAATTGAATTTCGAACTGTGGAAATGAAACAGAGACCGTAACCCAAGACCCAATACCCAGGCAGGGCATGGGCTTGGGCTTGGGCTTGGGTTGAGTTCCTTGGGGGCCTCGGGGACTGGGCGTGTATCCAATCCGAGCAATTTTCCCAATCGCACGATACACGTGCAAGCAGCGCCAACAACTTCGTCCAACAACAACAAAAACAACAACAAAGGCACGCACACTCAATTATTTGCTAAAAGCTTATGTAAACGCCTTCGTGTCAAGGGATTTTATTAACTGCTTCTTTCTGCCTGGCCTATTGAGCCGGCGGCCAGGCTAAGCCGAAATTTAAAACTAACACATCTACGCACACACTCCTGGGACACATCCACACCAGGACAGATGAAAATTTGCACACAGATCGCTCGACTAGGAGCATAGCGTCCTAGATAAGAATCAAGAGAAAAATCTAGCAGAGAAAATACCATTTCCAATTGGTCCGAGCGATGATACTCTCCCGCCTGAGAATACACATAGGTTCTTTGTCGAAGTTGAACTTGTATAGAAACGCAGTTAATATGAGATTACATCCTATCATTATCATTAAGTTGAAGTGGATGCAAGCTAAAGTCTTTTCTTTTAGGACACAGCTAATGCATCCGTTGGTTAGGGTATACCTTTATACAAAGAAATTGAAAAATGCTACAGAATGAATCAAAGTGAAAAACGAATATGTGAGAAACAGCGACAGAGCAACAGAGCAACAGACATGAGGGACTCCGCTCGACTCCTCTCTCTCGATGTGTGTGCTGCGTCCGCCTAACGAGCGAATCGTGTTCAATAAATATTTACCAGTCAGTCAGAGCAACAGTGCACGAAGAGCGGAGAACGACAGGAAAATAGGGGACCAGGCAACGAGGTACTACACTCGCAGAGATAGAAATTTCTTCTGGGAGAGACAGCGTTGAGACGCTTTATGCGGGCAGGTGCCCCAACCCCAGCCCCAACCCAATGCAGAACACAAAAAAGGAAGGGAATACAGCCAAAGTGACTGTGGCAAATCCGTGCCCCAGGCCCGTGCCGTCCATCAGCTGCTTGCTTAGCTAATACAGCCGAACTTCAGCTGTTTCTGTTCGGGCAGCGCCTTTGCATCCTGCATCTATACGGAATCGCGTCTATGAAATATTCAGTCATTTACAGCTCACTCTGGAGAATTCGTTCATGATGTTCTGTTCCTGCTGCTGTTGCTCCTGCCAGTTGCGCCCTGCCTTGATCCTCTTGCTGGTTTTGGTTCTGTGTCTGTGTCTGTGTCTGTTTCCCCCATCTCCATCTCCATCTCCACCTACCAAACCGTGCCTCAATTTATGAGCGCCCAGTGTGTGCTTTAATAGTTCGCAGCTGAATTAATTGGCTGCTGCACAAGTAGAACAAGATGGGACAGCGATAGATCCAGCTTCAGCTTCAGCGCATATATTTACCATATATCTCGCACTTGCCATTAAAATAATTTAATCAAAATGTTGTTCAACCCGCCCCCGCTCATCGCACATCGGCCCATCGTCCCACAAGGAGGAGGCGAAAGGCGAACTTTCGATAAAAGCGGATGGCTGCCGGGGTGTGATATATCTTTATAGTACATATCGTGTGTGTGTGGTGCATGTATGTGTGAGGGCGGGGTGGGAGCATACCCGTAAATTTTAATCAATTCTTTGCTTACTTTTGCTATCTCTTGGCCGCACTTTGCCTTTTTATTTTATTTACTGCTCAAGGCGCATTACTCTCGAATTGTTATGCCCTTTGTTCGCTTTATTTTTTGGTGGTAATATAAAGATACGACATGAGCATTGACTGATGGCATATTTACTGAATGCTTACTCAAAGGTTGCAGGGAAAGGGTATTTCTTGTTCCGTATAGTAAAGCACAATTCTATCGCCTGCCACATACTTTTTTTTAGAGCAAACAACTGCAGAATCGCACGAAAGGATCCGGCTGATTGTAACGAAGCCAGATTAAAACTTATGCACACACTCAGAGTAGACCGTTGAGCAGAGAAAAGACGGCTCTGGCCAGCTCCCTGTACGATGGGACTCCGCTTAGACTGGTGCCCCAACTGTGCTCCATAATGTGAGCTATGTTAGTTTTATGGCAGACAACTGGCAAATGGGTTAGGTTTGGGCTACGCCCAGCCAAATGACAATAAAAAATGTAACTAACCGCTGCGGCTGCCCCGACAGCAGCATTGTAAATGCTTTATGAGCCTTTGGAGTGCCATAATTTTCACTTAATAATCCGTTGAGTAGCTGCCCGTGATTTGTAGCCCAGCCAGCCCTACCCGATTCGTCGAGAGAACAACAAAGAGTGTAATGAGCTGGCTGTGGGATGGGGTACGGTGCGGTGCGGCGCGGTTGCCTCCGTGGCCGGAGGCAGGCCAAAACAATTTGAAAGTTTTTGCCAAAAACATAATGTGTGGCTAATTTTATTTGTCGCCAATTGGGAGCGATGCGATGCGATGCGATGCTGCCGTCCGCTTGACACACTAATTTATAGTGAGCCAGAGCTCCCGAAAACACCTGTGCCCGAGAGTATGCAGCGCTTTCGTTTTCAGATGCTCTCGTACAATATTTCCGGACCATGCCACAGACTCCATTCTGAAAATGCCAAATAATACTGCACACACCCACACAGAGAGGGAGAGAGGGAGGGCACAAAAAATGTTTAATGACCAAATTGCACATGAAATTGCGCGCATAAACTAATTACCGCGGATAAAGTTAACAATGCCAGCGATTCATGGCAATGCCTGGAACGGGTACTCTGCTCTACACTGCTCTGTCCTGGTATTGGCTTAACTGCCAGGCGACAGCGACCAGCTGCCATTATGTGGCACAACGGAACTCGACTCAAATACAGAGCGACAGGACAGGGCCCCCAGGTCTCCCATCGCATACCGTGCTGTGTGCTGTACGGTGCTGTGGTTCCATCCAGCTGTGTGGCCACCAGACGACACTCACATGACGCCACCGTTTGCCAGCATTACCGGTATTTACAATATATATATTTTAATATTTTTCGGTGGCTCCTCGCACTCTCTGTTCTCGGCTCCAAGGACCCCGATCACGGACCACGACGACGACCCCAAACCCAAAGCCAGGCAGAACTCCAATCCGAGCACCACAACCCCTTGGAATATTGTGTGTTATTGTGCCAAATTGTTTATGAAAAATTGCGTATGACGACGCCGCTGTTGGCACATAAATCAAGCCGCCTTGGCTGAGGATTTGGGCCAACAGCTCGACGGGTCGCTCGGTGGGTCGTTCGGTGGCTCGCCCGACGTATCCGTGGGTCCGCTTGGTAATTACAATGTAGCCGCCTGTGAATTTAACGATCTGGGGGGCCAGTCAGGCAGCGGAAGCATAACAATTTCAGCCATGCAATGCCTCGTCGCTGCTGCTTCTGATTCTGATGCTGAGGCTGGGGCTGAAGAGCCCACGAAAGGGTTTGGCTGGTTGTTTTTCCTTCGCTGGCTGCCGGTCAGTTCGGTTGGTCAGTTGGTTTCTGGCTAGCTTCTGGCTTCTGGCGGCTTGGTAGGTTGCTCAGTGCGTGAGGGTGGCATGTTAACAAAAGTGTGAGCCAAGTGGAAAATAACATTAAAAGGGGCTATAACAATAACTAACAAAGACACCAAAAGCAAATAGCAACGGCAAATGGTTGGGGCCAGGCTGACTGGCTAACTGGCAGAAAGGCAAACGTAGACGTCCCTTCCGACTCGAGCAGGGGCAGGCCGACAAAAATTAAATGGCGCGAGAAAATTGCATGGTCGGTGTGGTTCAGAGAGAGAAAGCGAGAGAGGGAAGGAGAGAAGCTGGTTTACATAATTGCCAAGAGCCATGGAAGCCAAGAGAATGGAATAGATGCAGGAGGGCCGAGTGGAAAGCAATCATGGCGGAGTTGAAGCTTACTTACCCGTACACACACACACACACACACGCACACACAAAAATACCCCGATACACTTGTACATGGCTACATGTCCTTGCCCCTCCATAATATTAAACTATTTCCTGAAATGTATACTCTGCCTCTGTCGCTGTTTGGCCCGCATTGTGGGGGCATAGTTTTGGGTGCTACTGCGCTTAAGTTAGTCTATAATTCACTTTCACGGACGCCAAAGAATAATGCCGGGGCTGCTGTTGGAATCAAAGGTCAGTTTTGTCCTTTTTGCTGTTTCCAGAATTAAATTTCTACCCAAAATAACATCCTATACTATTCAAAACGCATCAAGCCAAAAAGTATGCAATTCAATCAGCAAAGGAACAAAATTAATTCAGAGTCAATTAGGCGGCATGCCATACAGAGTTTAATGGAAATCCAAATCTGAATGCAGTTTTTCATACTTTGAGGTTCAATGGAAAATGAATCAAAATTGTAGCTTCAATCAGCTTAACAGCATTTCAAATATTTGCGAAACATTCAGGGAGAACTAATTATATGTCAGCTTTGCTGTGCAATCAGGACCCACCTATCTTAGCTCCATCTCCCTCTGCAGTAGGAAAATAAGCACACAAGAAGGACATATTCTTTTTAAACTATTTACTACTTATAACTAGAATATGCTGCTTGTTGTTAATTGCTGACTAAGCTTAACAGGGCTTACGATTAGCTTGATTTACACACAAATAATAAAGGCTGAGCGGATATAAAATGCAGAAACACTTATGAGCTATACAGACAGTCCGCACTCCAGCTCCGGATCCAGTCCAGTCCAGTCCCGGGCTCTCCTCAGCAGTTGTGGCACTTGACCAGTCCTACCTCGTCGCAGTTCATGCATTTGAGGGCCACGAACTCGGCCGTAAAGTGGTTCCGGTGAACGGACTTCTTGGACCCGTTGCAGGAGGGACAGGGCAGCAGGCGGTAGCCGCCGCAGGTCTGGCAGGTGTAGGTGCTGGAAATGGACTTGTACGGCTTAAGTAGCTGGCGAAGCTCCCCGGACTCGTTCAACCGCTCCACTGTGTCCGCGTCGCCGATGTGCTGGCCCTCGACATACAGCTGGGGCACTCGGACATGGGAGGTCTGCATGCGTTGGCGCATCTCGGCCTGGTACTCGACGCTCATGAAGACATCTCGCTCCTCGAACTTGATCAGCAGAGTGCGCAGAATCTGCTTGACATTGGCACATTTCGTGTAGGTGTCCCGTATAATGCCCATGCTGGTGGTGTAGAGCACCACTTTGCCCAGGTCTTTCTCTTTGTAGCACTGTGGGTGGATAGGAGAAGAGGTGGAAAAAGAGCAACAGATTAGTTCGAGTTCGAGTTCGAGTTCTGGTTATTGCCGGAGTCGAGTCGAGTTGACGTTGACTGGGTCGGTGGCTAAAAGCAGGCCACCAAAAACTGGAAATTGGCGCAACATTCGCCACAGAGCGCGGATTTCAGTGTTTGTCATGGTCATGCAAGAACGGCATGTCCAAATTGGGTCTCTGGTTTGTGAGGATGAAGGCCAGGCCAGTCTGAAAAAAGAGACAAAAGCAACGCGGAAGAATCGCCGACTTTAAGCTGCGATAGACTATTACAGACAATCGATTTCAATCTAAAGGCAATGACAATGCCAATGGCAACGGGAAAACCAAGAGGACTACCGCCTAATGATGCAAAACTCATATTTGATGCAAGAATTAAGTAGAAATCAGGTCTTGCTAGCAAACAGGAATGCAATTCGGGAGAACTGGTTGGGCCTCATGCATGGAAAACTTCAATCTTAGGCACAGCGCACTCTCCAAGCCGTTGGGTTCATTAGCTTGGAGTCACGTAACCACCAGCCAGCAGCCAACTCTGCATGTCACTCAAAATCCTATTAATCAATACAATTAAGCAATAATAGGAAAACTGCTAGGCAATCGACAGGCAGCAGCAGCAACAGGCAATCGTACTCGTACAATGGAAATCTGGAATGTTTTCCCGACAATTTATGATGTCTTATTTTGTAAGCCTCAACCGGTTCGGCTCAGGGGGGGTTCGTTCATTTCATTTGACAATTAACATTTCCGTTAGTTGGCCAACTTTGGTGGCGTCTGCTTTGGCTAATGAACCGAGCCGAACCGCACCAAACCGAACCGGGCGGACAGAGCTCTGGTATCAATGAACTATGCAGCGTGGAGTGGGCAGAGGCAGTGTGGGGTTCGGAGTGGTTTGGGGGGACTGCAGCATCCCCAAACCGGTGTGACGAGAATTTGCATTGCAATAGAAAGAAAGAAAATTAATAAGCAGGCGAATGAAAAGAAATGAAGAGAGAAAGACAAACACGGCGACAGAGCCTGCGCCGTAGAGATGCAGATAGAGAGACAGCGACAAAGTGCAGCTGCATGTGCCGTTGTCAGCGACAAACGCGAGAAAAATATTTCATGACAAAATCAAAATCAAGAAAAAAAAGTTCAAAGCCACGCAGCACGAACCAAATCAACAATAAACAACCAAACATCCAGCAAGCAACAAACAACAAACGAGCTGCGGTCAAATGGAAAGTCAACTCCAGGCCGGAGCGAAGTGAACGTCGCCGCTAAGCTGTTTTTCCAATTCAATTTCAGCAATTGTCTGCCCCGTATGTCCCTGGCACTGCCACTGCTGCACTGATGCACTGCTGCACTGCTGCATTGGTGCAGTGTCTGCTGGAGAAAACTAAACTCCCATTGCTATAAGCGGGTCCCAGCCAATACTGTCTGTTGGGACAGTGGTTCAATGTCAACTCTTGGCTATAATTTGCATTGCCAAAAACATAAACACACCGGCAATTAACAATTACCACACGTGATTTGCACGGCTAACCTCGGCGCGACTTTTGTCGAGCTGCAGTCGTCGTCGCCGCAGTCGACTCAGAAGCAGCATCAGCCACAGCAGCCACAGTCGCAGCAACAACGCAGCGCGCTGCTCTGCTACATATTAATGGACAAAAGAGAAAGCAGGTCACTTGTATGGCCAATAGCCAGCAGCGAGCAGTCGGAGCAGAGTGATTGCCAATCGAAGAGTTGAGCAACACACATCGAGGTACGAGGCTAATGCCAGTGATGCCTCAATCCATGAGGTTGTTGTTGCGACTACGACTGCTGATGCTTCTCGAAGGTGACAAAGTGAGTTGTGCTTTTTGTGTGCAAGCACCATCAATTTGTAGCCATCAAAAATCCGTCGATTGCTCTAATTAGGGCTTCAAGCGCCGAAGGGCTAAACAATCGGCCACGATACGAAACAATGCCAGATGCCAGTCAGATTTTCACTTTCGATTTTTACTGCTCTGCATACGAGAGTGGAATGGAATGGCCTGGAATGCCAGGCCTGCATTATAATTAACAGCATCTCACTTTTCCTATTGTTGGTCTCTGAATGCTTCCTACCATCCATCCGAGTGTCTGAGTATCTGGCTGGCTGGCTAATTTGCATGTGAGCCGCTATAAGGCCATAAAACATATCCATTCATTTAGCATCTACTTAATTTATGCCGATCCGTTGTGCTGTTTCTCGACTTTCGGTCGAAGGCGGGCCAACGCCAACCGTCACTCCGTCAATTCATCAGGTCTTGCTCCATGGCTCAGAAAGTGAAAAGCAAGAAAGCCACAAGCAAAACAATTAAAATGATCTAAAATCTGTTCATTTAATTAGATAAAGGGAAATTTCTAAGTCGCTTTGTGCAGAGGAAATCAAATGAGAGCAGCCGCCAGACTAATAAAAATTAAAAAGCATAAAAATAAAAATAAAAAAAAAAACAATTCCAAGCCGAAAATGTATTTATGGACTATTGCCGGAGCAGAAAAGATTTCTGCTCGAGTCATGGTTGATATTAGGAAATGGGGGAAAAGCGCTTAAGCGGGCGGAAAAATGGTCGAGTGATAGTCCATCAAATGGGAACAAGTTCCAGCTTCAGTTTTGAAAGATCTTTGGAACCCAAAATGGGGAGTCCCAAATGATGCCATTTTAATTCGAAACCTTGGCAAATAAAATATCAAATTTTGGCTTAATCTTGGCATTCAGATAGAAAGCTCTTCAGGTGAATAAACATAAATCTATGATATCTGTGATTTATCAAGCGATTTCTTCATTTCTTCATTAACAATTAATGATCGTTTTATGCAAAACTAGTTCCCAGAACACGCCTCGGAAAAAAAGAAACTAATACAATTTCCACTTTTACGATGACAATTCCATTCAGCACCGTTGGCTAGCTGTTGTTTTGTGCGCCCCAACCCAAGCTGCCCAACATGGCCAACATTAACTGTGATTAGTCGTGAATCCAAGCCGAAAACCACGCACCCAAACTACAGAGCAATCTCTGCGAAAGAGCATGGAAAGATACAGGGAAACGTAAATGTTGCTAACGTCGCTGAGTCGGGCCGATGCCGATATCTGGAATAAGCCAAGCCAAGCGCTATCTGAGCAAGTAGTAAACGCGCGCTAAGCGCATACAAAACGACGAAGACAACGACAGCATAGCATAGCACAGCACAGCACAGCACAAAATAAGCCACTTAACGGTTTTCATTATAATTGAAGAAGAAACTGAACGAAGAGACGTTGAAAGCACAGCTCGTGTGTGGAGCCACCAGGCGGACAAGCAGGCTGGGGGCAGGCTGGGAGGGGGACAGCAGTTGCTCATTAGATTACGGCTAAAATGAGCGGGTTGTGAGCCGTCAATTCGAAATGTGAAAGATATTGAAAAGCTGCTCTGACTCTGAGTCCACACATCGGCATCGGCATCTTCAATTGTTGGGTAGCACTTTCTCTGAACGAGACGTGTGCACAGTGGGATGGCAGACAATCGGCGGAGAGATGCTCACATCGCACCGAGGGATTGCATAATTTGGCCGGTCCCGGGCAGATGACTCAATGGTGGTGGGCAATCATGCAGACGAGACGTTGTTGACGCCGACACCGTGGGAACTGAATAACTCTGAATAACTGAATACCTGAATGCCTAAATGTCTCAATTCCCTGCATATTCATATCCATATTCACATATTCACATATGTGTGTGTGCTCATGTTCATTCGACCTCGACTCACCTTGGCATTGGGCTGCTGCTGGAGCTGCAAGAACGTGGCTATTCCATTGCGCACACGATTTTTGACGCCTCGCACCGTTCCCTTGGCGGAGCGAATGGTAGACTGGGTGGAGCTGCTGCCACACCGCACATCCCGGTAGCCGGCGAAGAGATCTTGCTGTTCCGTTAGGCTCGCGGCCATCTCCGACTCGTCGCCGTCGACGTGACGCGCGAAGCTGCTAAAGTTCTCGTGCTCGTTAATGTGAAAGCTGTAGTATTGATCGTCTGCATATTTGTAGTGGATGTTGCTGCTGCCACTGCCACTGCCACTGCCCCTGCCATTGGTGTGGCTGTGGCCGTGGATGTTGCTGGTAACTGGCAGAGATTGCGAGGCGGCCTCAATGCTGTCCAACGACTCCTCACCGGTTTGCACAAAGTTGGCTCTCTCCACGGCTGCACGCAGCTCCTCGATTTTCTCCTCGCTAAGCGACTCGCGGGACAGGCGCAACGACATCTTGCCCGCTGGCATTGGCTTGTCCTTGACCTCGGAATCGGCATCGGCATCGGTATCGACATCGGCGTGGGTAGTGACGGTCCCCGTGTACTGCACCACGTACTCCTCCGCACTGCGCCGATCCCTTATGTCCCGCAGCAGGGAGTCCGGCAGCAGGGAGCCCAGGGATCCCAGCATGCGTATCGACTTTTGCCGCTGCCGCTGCAGCTGCAGCTGGCCGCTGGGCTGGGAGGCCGCCTGACGCACGTACTCCGTGCTGCTGCAGTTGAGGGAGTCACTGCCCAGGGAGGAGGGACCACTCTCCTCGCTGTCGTCGGTCAGCAGCGATGCGGGCTTGGCCGGAACGCCGTTGCTCTCCAGATCGCTTCCGTTCCCGCTGTCCGCCCGCTCGCAGTGCGTGGCGTACTTCTGGTACTGATCCATGTAGCAATTACCCGGATTGCTGCCACTGCTGCTGCTGCTGCTATTGCTACTACTGCCTCCTACTCCCGTTGCTGTGGTTGGGGGCGTGGCGACCACCATGATTACGTATACTTATGTTGCACGCGGCGGACGGAAGACACTGTGTATAAGGGGGCACTGTGCAACACGCGGCTGCCTCTTCAGTCTGGAGTCTTCTGGTCTAAGTTTGAGGCTTTGATTATTTGTTTGGCTGCCAAATGCAAGCGTTCAATGACTCTGACTCTGGCTCTGACTCTGACTCTAACGGACGTTGCACCCGACGTCGCATGTCTTTATGCTTCAGCTCTTGTCGTTAGACTGGCTGGCCGGCCTGACTTTTTCTTGCAGCTCCAACGGAGCTGCCGCTCAGATCGTGGCTCTCACAGCACCTGCCAAGACAGAGCGAGTCTCATGCATCGTTTCTCTCTCTTTCTCTGTTTAGGCCATTTCTCCAGCCCGAATTCAGCGCTGGCTCTCTCTCCAGTCATTCAGCAACTGCCGAGCTGGCTTGCTTTCTTTCTTTCACCCGATTGCATTAGCCGCGCGTTATTAGATTTTGTAATTTTAGCGCCCGTTTCTGTTTCTATATCTTTGTATTTCTATTTCCAAATTGTTTGTCATTAGTGGCGAAGAAGTTTCTGCCCGCTTCGCAAAATTACCAATTGGACTACAAAGGCAGACGGGGACGGTTACGGGGAGCAGCATGACGCCTGCACGTGACTGTGACGCTATTCCGAGTGGCAGCCTGGGGAAGAGTCAACTGATCATGTGGCCAGATTATCCATGGGGTATGGAATAGTTGGTTGCGCCAGAGAACCGTACGAACACAAATTAGCAGAGATTCTAGCAGTGTTATATGTTTACCAACACCAATTAAATAATTATTTCATCTCTTTGATAGAACTTGACCTACATAAATGAAGATTTGATTAATTGATCAAGGTGAAAAATTGAATTGATTTTTCGCACATAAACTCTTATTTCTTTGTTATCGAATCCGTAAATTTATCATCTTTATTATTTATATCACAGTATATATAATCAGAATACATTTAATGTGAATGCAGCGATTATTGTCGCGAGTTTGGTATTTTTTACCTTTTTGTCGGAATACGAGCGGCAGACACTGGCACGAATATTAGAGAATTTTCCTTACTGATAGAAAAAGTTGATTCATTTCATTCAAAAGAACGAATTAACAAAAGCCACAAAACAAAACTGTGGCTAAGAAAAAACTTACTGGAAATAACTACTGGAGCTGCGGTGCGGGGTCGGTAGCAGGCGTTGGGGCGCATTATCAGCTTAGGGAAGTGCGGAAAAGATACTAACTATAAAGTTTTTGGCAGAGCTGTACAGCAGCAGCATCAGCAACCGCACAATCAATGCAAATGCCAAGTTTGGCTGACTGGGGGTTATCTGGTGGCTTTTCCGAAATCAACCAAATATCACGTATCACCACACAGCACCCGGAGTGGAACGAAGCGGAGCGGCAGTCACAGCGTTGCAATCGAAGCCACAATAAAGAGTTGCATCTAATTGACAAAACGGGGGGCCGGGTCGTTATCAATAGAGAAAGAACAATCGAAGAATCTATCGGGCAAACTGACAAATTTCACAGAATTCCGATGCCATGAGCTCGGCATGGTCTGGTCTGCCGAGCGTGTTTATCGCGAAATTTGATGTCTGCAGAATTTGGCGACCGATAATATCATCTGGTCTGGCACCATGCTCCATGCCCCGATGAGTGTGGAGTGTGGCAGATTGCAGCGCGTGACATCGGTGACATATATAAGGCCGAGATGCATTGAGTTGGATTGTATTGAGTCTTGACGTTTCAGAACTAGAGGAACATGGCTGGGAGACAAGTGCTGTTCTGCTTGGGATTATATATTTTGGTGGCTTCCGCTCGTGGATCATGCTTCGACGATGATGTTCCCGCGTGCGCACGGAGTCGCGACAGCGGCATGTACTTCCTTTTCAAGAACGAGTGCGATCTGCGCAAGGCCCAGCGAGGCAACCTAATTGGTGCACCCTTATGTGAGTAAACTACAGCTAGCTCTAGCACTGCCTCTATTTTATTGTCTATTTTCTCCAGATGATGTGACTCTGCGGCACTGCTTCCCCAATTGTGACTTCCAGTGCGGCAATGGATATCAGCCATTCTGCGGCGTCAGTGCGAGCACTGGGGAGCGCAGGACTTTCAGGAACCGATGTGAAATGGGACGCAGCTCGTGCTTGTTGCAGTCCGACTGGGCGGTGTACAGGTGGGGCGTGTGTCCCAAGGCCAGCAGAGAGACTCTGGCACAGCATACATCACCATACGTGGGGAAATACCAGCGTCCACAGCCAGTGCCTTGCACCAGGATCTATCGTCCAGTGTGCGCAGTATATGCGGGTGTAAAGTCTACATTTTCGAATGAGTGCTTGGTAAACGCCGAGAACATTAAGACACAGAGAAGTAGGTGGCCCGGTGTGTGTTTGCCAGTTGCCGGTTTGAGTCACTTATGCGTTTATGTCCCACAGATTGGCGCATAGTCTCCGAGGGACTTTGTGGCGAGGACAGCACCAAAATGAAGCACAGTCGCAAATATAAGCCAAGGGCCAAGCCAAAACTGGAAGCGGATCGGACCAAGCGCAGTCACAGTCACGGCAAGAACTCCAATCAGGTGGAAGACTTCCAGATACCCGAGGACGCAGTGCAAATCTATGCCCCCTCCACATTCCACACCCAGTTCATCAGCAACACAGGCACCATGGAGAAGAGCTACTCCCTCCCAGCTCGCAAGCCCTATGTGGTGTCCGCGCCAAAGGTCCGGCGAGTCTATGGAAGTGCCACCACCGAAGGTAATGCTCCCAAAAACTCCATAAGGCCGTGCGTGTTTAGCAACGAGCCTGTGTGTGGCAGCTTCAACGGCGAGAGACGCACATTTTCGAATGTGTGTGCTCTCATAGACTACAGCCAGAGCGTCGGTGACGGTAAGGCATTTGCATGAGGATTTGTGGCCGGACTTTAATGATTTCACGATCCTCCGCAGCATGGTCCATTTTACACGACGGCTCCTGCCGACGCTGTAACAAGTCCTGCCCCTCGGTCTATCAGCCTGTGTGTGCCAGTCGGAATGGCATAGACCACACAGTAATAAATGAGTGCTTTCTGGAGAGAGTGCGTTGCAAGGATCCCAGAATTGGTAGGTACCCTCTATCGAAGCAGCCTTGGACAGAGAATAAGCATACTTTTCTTGTAGTTTGGAAGATCATCCACAAAGGAGAGTGCGTAAAGTCCAGGGCAACGATCAAGCCCAAGGCAGCTACCACGGAACGCGGTCACAAATCTTCTCTGATTCCCCGTATGCTGTATGCCACCAACAGGCGAAATGCCTCCCGCCCCTCTACTACCACCACCACCACCACCGGGAAGCCTCTGGCCAGCCTCCAAATAACGAAGACACCAATAAACCCATACAAGCCGCGCCAGCAGTTCAGGAAATCGTTTAAACCAACGCCAGCATCTGAGGAATACAACAATCGCAAGATTCGCAAAATAGAGTCGGCCAGTGCCGGCTTTGACCCCGTCCCTCGATCCAGTTATGCGCAGCCAAGCGAAGAAGAGTCCGCTTCCAGCCTTTGGTCTTCAAATGACAATTGGCTGGTGCGAAAGACCCTCGACAACGTCAAGGGTTACTTCAGCAAAAAACCATCGACCTTCAAAAAGGCGCACAGCGAAAAGTATCCGCAATATTCCTGGATTAAGCCGGGGGAATCCTCGCCCCTAGCAGAGCCACTTGAGGCGACGACCACAAGCAGAATCACAGCATCGCCGATGCCGCCTACTCTGAGCATTGCCTCGGCGGAACTATTGAATTTGGATATTGGGAACGCTGCAAACCTCTACGAAGATGTAGATCCACAAATACTATTTATGCTGACCACCGCTGCCGCCACAAGCACAACCACAGCGACACCAGAACCCATCGAGACCACGACTGCACCGACTACCACCTCTGACGCCACGAATCCTCCTGACCCAACAGAAGTGTCTACAACAGCGTTCACATCTCCAGAGGCAGGGGAAGAAACGACAAGCGAGGAGACTACCGTAGGCATAGAAGAGACTTTTGCCACTACTGCTGCCACATCATCAGCCACAATAGCTGAAGATCTCTCCAGCACAGAATCTGGAAGTGAGTCGAACGACGAGGCATCAACGGAAGCCTCAACGACAACCCAGAGCAGTGATTACACGGTGGAGGAGCCGCTATCCGAATCAAGTGGACAAACCTCCATCTACGGTCTTGATAAGAACTCGTTGATCATGCGTTTGTTACGCGCTAGAACAAATCAAAATGTGTTAATTTAAGACTTCCATTCAGTGTTAAAATTTTCGCGCTAAGTTAAATTGTTGTTTAAGTCTGTTAAATAATATTTTTAAATACTAATTAATAATATTCTGTTGATATGTTGTCCTCCGTTCATGGAAAAATTTTCGTCACGATTTGAAGCCATTAAACAGTTGCCAGAATTATTACACATTATATTTGTAGTTAAATTATCTCAATCGATAATGGGATTGTTTCGATCAGCAAAAAAATATACAGAACGCGTGAAAATTTGACCAATAAAGCTACGGTCTACCCTCAGCCAAATAACATAAGTATTTAAGACACCTGTAAAACGACTGGTTCACCGCCATCGGCTGAGTGATGGCCACGGGACTATGACTAACCGCACGGCAGCGAGGACCTTGAGCATTGAATATCGGAGCAGTGATGGCAGTTTAACAATTTAGTTGCTAGTTTTGGCAAGGTCTGGATTACAAATAGGCGCAAAGGTTTTTGACATGTAGCTTTGATGAGCATGTACCCAACAAAAAAAAGTGGCCTTTCATTCGAAAGTCGACCAAAACGGAGGAACAGGAAGCAGCACTATGCCTACACATTGCCAAACACACGGCGATTGCGACAAGTGATCATATGTCAAAGTTGTGTGCGAGCAGTTTTCAGCTTGCAAAGCTGCTGAAAGTATTAAATTAGTCAGAACGAAGTGCACCTACATGCATTATTAAAAATGTACTCGCAATGCATTTCATGGACGACTTTCGAACCGACATCGAAAACTCAGCTTTTAGTCTTCTGTTGGTCGAGTCTACTGACATTAGCGTGACAATCTTGTTGGCAATTTTCACAAAATTTGTAGCAATTTTTCTTCGCAAATCTAACAATTTTTGATAAGGAGCTTCTGGTAGCACTGTATCGGAGTCTAAAAAACATATATTGACTGATCCGAGACGTAAGACAAGTGGTCAGACCATAGGACCCGAGACGTGAACCAGATCCTATCTAAAACGTGAACCATAAGAAAATTGAAAATTTCAGTGTTGGAAAACGGGAGAGAGCATGGCAGCTAAAATAAAAGACAATATGTACCTCGTTGCCTGAAGACTGTCAGCTAATAGTGATGACTCATCTCTCCAGTCAACGAAGATATAAATTGATAAGTATGATCCACCATTCGTGGGCGTTTCATATCAAACAGTTTTTATATTTCCTACAAGACATAGATGGCGACAAAAACTCTCGCTATTGCTACCTATTGGTGAGAACTTTTTGTTGCAGCGTATCGAAATGGATTGTTAGGTGGCGCCCCAGTATGATGTAGTAAGTATGTATGTAGATGTAGATGTGTGAATGTAACATATTATGTTGGTGTTTTGGATGTGCTACGTGCAAAATGAACAACAGCTGTCGCTAGTATATATTAACGCGTACCGATTCACCTAACAATAGCATTGCAACGTCACGTAAACGCTTTCCAAGATCCCGAAATTTATGCGCTGGTTTTAAAATACAGTAGACGGTCGGAAATATGAGCAGTGCTCGTTATATCTGCATATCCCATCAGATGTATCCCATTAAAGTGCTTTAACATCGAAAGTGATATGTACAAGTTATATATCAGACGTTTTTTCTAAAGTTGTCCTGAAATCATAAGTGAATTTTCTGCATTAAAAAAAAAAAAACACTTAGACGCCTGCAGCTGGACGGAAATTTCGCTACCAAGCAGTGAAGGCAAGGCCGTAAGAGAGTTTTTATGACCCAGGTCTGTCTGGTAGCCAACTATCGTTAGCTATTGGCCATTGGCGACATGACAGTCTTTATACCATCCGGCCGTCTGCTACAGCAGCCCAGCAGATCAGAGCGGAGCTCCCGCTCCATCCTCTCTAGTTCAATTTGTTTAATTGCCTAACCAAGTCGTTGGCGGTTCAGCTGGGGTGTTCGTTTTCGGTTTCAGTCTCGCAGTCTCTTGCAGCTAATTTCTTTCAAAAGTAGTTTTGGGCGGACTCTGGGGTAGATCCGAAGTCCGAAATCCTCTGAATACCCGCACGTTTGCGTGTGCTTCGTGATTTAATATGTGGCCATCAAACGACTGATGTTTGCGGGGCGGACCATCATAGTTAGCCATGTTGTCTTCAAATATTTCGCGGCTTGCTTAAAGACAATGTTTAGAGCAATTTCCGATGAAGGAAAACCAAAACTTTCTACAGACGGCTACAGCTACAATAAACGGAGCTGGTTCTGGAATTGGTTCGATTGGATTACCTAATGCTCATTATGCGAGTGCAGACAACAAGTGACAGGTGGCAAAGCTAATCAATTGGATGTCAGTCAATGCTGCCCAAGAATGCCAAGCATTGTCGATGGACCGGGGGCAAAAAAAGAGTCCGCCAATTGTTACTTTCACTAGTAAATAATGCAGCAACGCGTCAACAAGAGCAACTGCAGTAGAAACAGCATCACCAGCAGCAGCATCAGTATCTAATACCAACAACAACTTTCGCATCCAATGTCTGTGGCTTTGTAATTAAGACGGTCGGTCAGACAACTCGCAGTCTCACAGTAACATACAAATACGAATACAATTTAATGAACGGCAACAATTCAAAGTGCAGTGTTCCATTCAAAGATGCAAATTGCACGATGCAACCGGAGAATGCCCCACACAAGGCGCAGTTTAAACTCACATAAATGCGCATTTGCACTTATTCCGATTGGTATCATTTACTAGATGCGCCTCCAGCTCAGATGGCTCTGATTTGGATTAGGTCGCTGCTCAGAGTCTCAGAGTGGCGCCAGGGGATTTTAATTGTACGAGTAACAGCGTATCCATCAGATACTCGTACGTATCTCGGTGCGGCCGCTACTTTGCGATTCACTTTCGTTTGCGGCTCTTGCTTTCAGTCACACGCATCGCAGCTGGAAGGCGGTCGGTCAATTGGTGGTTGTTTGGCTGCTGCCTAGCTAGCTAGCTGCTGGCTTCATAATCCAGACGACAATGCGATCGATCCAATTTGCTGTTCGATCGCTGATCGTACAGCAAAAACTCGCCCCGCGCTCCGAGTCTGACCCAGAAAGCCCGGTGGCATTGGCATTGGCATTGCATCCACAGCTCGGCGGCAGGAATTGCGATTCCGGTGCATGCTGCATGCACATGAGCATTAGACGAGCCGACGAGGAGCAACTTGCCAAGCAGCTATCTTCGTTGAGAGCCTCGGCTTGCGGTTGCCTCGCTGTGATAAAAGGAGTTGCCAGCGCCTTCTGGCTGCTATTTGTGTCTCGTCCAGTCAGCCGTGCGGTGCCCCAACTATCGCAGACTCGCCTCGCATTCCAAATCGACATCAAAATGCTACCCTGTCGCATCGTGGTGGCATTGATGCTGCTGCTACTGCTCCACTACGGCAGCGCAGAGGAGCAGGCCACAGATGAACCACAGTCAACGCCCGCCATCCATCGATCCAATGGCCGAGCGGGCTCATCGCTGCTGTCGCATAGCGATGCCTACATAGCGCGCAACCAGCGTCAGTGCTTCGATACTCGCAATCTGATGTCCTGCATCAAGTACAAGGCCTCGAAGCTAATCTGGAAACTGGCCACCAATGGCATGGGCTTTTTCCCCAACGAATATGGACGTGATTTGGCCGCGGATAAGCACCGCCTCCTGCGGCTGGTCCAGTTGGGGGAGCCGGCCGACGATATTGTGGTGTTCAACGACGCCAAGAGCTTGGAAGGTGGGTCCGTGTCAGTGGTCCGTGGTCCATGGTCCATGGCCTATTGCCCGAAACGAAAGTTGTTTTCCCCGGTCAGTTGGCAAAGGAAATTAACGTTTAAGACCGCGACATTCAAATGACCGAAATACCGAGTATATGTGTGTGTGGTGTGCGATGCAGTTTAATTTATCACTTTTGCTCAGACAGCATCCACTTCCAGTGCCAGAAGCAGTTTCTAAGGCAGCTGCTGGTCGATTATCCGTTGCGGATGTTTATTGCGAGTGTTAATTAATTTCTGGAATTTATTTCTGCGCGCTTCTTGGTCCGGTTCCAGCGCCCTGTGGAGGGTGGGGCAAACAATAAACAATTGATAAGCATTTTTCACTCGGCTAATTACGCACTTCTCCATCCGACCATCCACCAGGTGACAGCGAGCTGACGCTCATCTTCAAGTTCCTCAAGCGGGCGGTGGAGACCTTCGGTCGGAACCACGGCCTCCAGTTGGCGTTATCCAGCGAGACAGGCGCCCGCGTCATGGACGAGTCGGGTAGGTGAACATTAATCTCTCTCCGACTCCGGGTATCAAGTTCTGTTTTGCACCACCCAGAGGCGCGTCTGAAGAAGAAGAAGAGGAAATGGCTCATTATCCTGCCGCTGGTCATTCTGATGAAAATCGCGCACCTGAAAATGACTCTGGTGTCCATGCTATTGACTGTAATCGGCATGAACGTGCTCTTGGTTGGCGGCGTGGGCTGGCTGATTCACTATCTGAAGTACAAGACCATGTGCAAGATCCATCCGCACCTGGTGCAGACGCACTCGCATGTCTACGACTCGGAGCCCTCAGACTATTCGCAGTTTGTGGGCGGCAGCAGCTTCTCCAACTCCTACTCCCCCTACAGCTCTGGGGCTGGTGCCGGGCACGAGGGCAATAACTATAGCAAGGACTGGGCCACGAATAAGGCCTACAATGGCTACAACTATCTGGACACAATAAGCAAGAGGATACAGTAGACCGAAGTGGATTCGTGCCAGAGCCAGAAATGTGTGCGCCTAGTAAAATTCTCATCGTCCGTGTCCGCCGTTGTCGTCATTATTGTTTAGCTATAATTTCATAAGTTAATTTATTGTAATTTATTAAATATATCTACGTAGTTTTTTTACCATGCAAACGAATCAAAAATTGAAAAATTAAAAAATTAGCATTTATTTGATGGATCTGGATTTTCGGAGATTTCACCAGAATCAAGCCCACCTAAACGTTCTGCTTTAGTCTGTCTCCACATAATTCTGGCAGTGTTTTCTACAAGCCAAACACCCTCTCATATAAGCATAAAACAATTTGTTTATGGGGAAAGCAAACAAACACCACCCGTCCCGCCACCCCCTCCCAACCAGACACAGCTGGCCAAAATATAAAACGTGTGAGAGGCGTTTCGCTCGCGTGGGTACGTACCGGCCTCTTATCAGTGCCACTGGAGCTTCTCGTTAAACAAACAATCCAAATTCGTATTCGGATTGGCCTTCCTGGAAACAATTCCAATTCCACCGAACCAATATGTTTCTAGCGCCAAATTCTTTAACTTAATTGAGCAAATAGGATTTGGACATTGTCTGCCTGCAAATATGAATTATTATATGTATTTATTAGTAGTGCACTATAGATGGCCAGGATGGTCCTGATGACTTAATGTCATGCACATAGGGTGAGAATAGTTGGTTGCTTTATTATCAAGAGAAAGTGAAAGTAGTAGGGAAACGGGATTTATAAAACTGCTTGATAAGTCAGTGGGAAGCCAATAAAAAGTCTCTCAGTTGTTTCCGTGGCAAAAAAGGTCGCACACATATGTACGTGACCATAGATAAGTGGAAAACATGTTTGCAGCCAGCATCTCTTGCTGCATATCCAAGTGGCTTATCTCTGTTCTGTATTTCATCACAAAAAGCAGAGAAAAACTCGAGGATACAGTCTAAGCGGGGACCAGCTGGACGCATGGAGATTATCATTTCTTTCAGCCCATGAATTCATTTCTTTGTTAAATATACATAGATTTTGTCACTTAACTATTATGGAGTGACCACACGTCTTTTATTAAGTGAGGAAATTGGGGGGGTCTCAACATAGCGCACACAACCTCGTCAACGCCTTCTTCTCCTGGAACAGCTGGGGCTAACCAAATATATACGGGCGGCTCTTCTCTTCGATGTTTACTGGCTTCTTATCGGAGGCGTGCTTTTGTGTACCAAACAATTTGTTTCAAGCTCCCAAGAAACGGCTCTGCTCTGCTTGTTTATCCAACGAACTACGCACAACTCTCATAATCAATAAGTCCACATATGTGTATCGTATGTATGGGCCCTGGCTAATGCCAAATAAGTTCAGCAGATTCCAGCTGGTCGCTATCTGTTGTTTAGTACACATGTAAATGATTTAATGGAGGAACTGTCGCATCGTCTGCCTGTTTGCTCTCATTTATGAAAGCATGCAGCGAAACCAAACAAAAGGTTGCACTATACTTCCACCAATAAACATAAATGATAAGCCCGAACAAGAAACGAGCCGCCTGCCAGTTATCGACAGTCGCAAAAATGTATTCGATTTCCAAATAAACAGGTCATAGGTCGAGAGCAGGTTCCTAGGGTCATGTCAGTAGCAGTAACACTTTGAAAAATTCATATGGAAAAATTCTCGTATTTTGTCTTAGAATTCTTATTGAGCCCAGTATGCACTTAAGATTATGTCTGAAAAGTGGTCTGCTTTGCCCAGAGGTCGACCAAACAAGAGCTGTCACAATTCTTCCCTCCTGGCTGCACGCGGCTCTGGGCCAAGCCAGCAACTGGAAAGGAGAGAACATTCTGAAGACGGAAGTGGAACGGTGAAACGGTGTGCGCCAAGGTGGGGCTGGAGTTACAGGCAAAGTTCCACGCCAGAGCTGTACTACTCAAAGAGCGGCATCCTGAGCTCCTGGCTAAGAATTTCTCATCGCATTTCTTCTTCCGTAGGAATAAAGGATATTCAGAGCTCTTTACCAGTTTGCTTAGTCCCAACCAGACCCAACCAAACCTGAACGAACGCTATGGTGCTTGGTTGGAGCTGGTCCTCAGTTTAATGGCGTATGCAGCTCGATCTGTCGACGGTGGCAAGGGGGAATGCCAGACGTTGATTCATTGCGACAAATGTCGTGTTTATAGGGCGGAGGGGGGTGGGACGAAGTTTTGTGATATAAGTTTTATTGTGAGATCTACCAGGAGTGTGGATACCAGGGGTTGTGGCGATATTTTGACACAAAACAGTCAAGGTTCGAAGTGTGGTTACCAAATTTGGTTGCTCTAGCTCTTATAGTCTCTAAGATCCTTGACCTCACATTTTGCAATTGGCAAAACTGACCATGAAACCTGTTTGTTAGAGAGAGACAGAGCGAGAAAGAATGAAATTGTTTTCTTGATTCTGGCTTTAAAATTTTTACGATCTAGTTCAGATTTTGCACTCTTGAAGATATATGCATCCTCTACCATTCTGTTTTCTGTTATCTTTGAAAATGTGGATGCCATAGATTTTCGCCTCATTGTGGAGGCGGAATTGGGCGGGGCAAAGTTTTAAAATATTCTTGTAGCAATGACATTTCACAGAAGTCCGGATTTAAAATGTCGTTGCTCTAGCTCTTATAGTCTTTGAGCACCAGGCGCTGATAGGGACGGACAATCGGACTGACAGACAGGGCTCAATCGACTCGGCAATTGATGCTGATCAAGAATATATATACTTTATGGGGTCGGAAACGATTCCTTCTGGACGTTACGCATATCCATTTTCACCACAAATCTAATATACCCTAATTCTCATTTTGAGCATCGGGTATAATTATAGTATCCTGTTTCCTTACGTCTTGTATCCCTGTCTCGAAGAAGAAGAATCGTCTGTGGATGCCTTATACCTAAGTCCCCACATTTTCAGCTAATTAAACACAATACACTCACACATATCGTACAAGTACCTGAGATAAAGTGCTGCAAGTACAAGTATGCATGGGTATCACGCCATGACAAAAAATCTCAAGCAATACCTAGCAAGTGTAAAAGTTTGAATTATGTATTCTGCTAACTCACGATGACGTGGTGAGGCTTAATTATTTTATTCCAAGAGAATAAAATATACAATAAATGTACAAGGGAGTGAAAGATTGCCACTCTAGCAAATTTACAAGATGTATTAAAGATATTACCCTGGGACAGGAGAGACGCGCCAAGCTATTTAGTTTGCTTATCTGAGCCAGTGTATATATTTTTTTGGCTGATAAACTTATATAAACTTTCGCTCAGTGTCGTCTGGGAAGTCAGATTTGTTTGAGAGTTCGACGCCTAAGCAACAGTCACTTGTCACGATGCTGCCCACCTGGTTAACAGAGGAGTATATTCAAACCCATCTAAGAGCCTACTGCAAGGATGGTCAGCTGCGAGTCCTTAAGCTGTGGGCCAAGCCAGCAACGGAAAAGGGGGGAAACTATGTCGGCGTAATGACTCGCATATACGTCGACTACGAAGACAGAAATGGAACGGTGCAAAATAAATCATTCATCCTGAAGCAAACTTGCTCAAAAGACGCCACCCAGTGGGCTATTTTCCAGGAGTACGATGTATACAATCGGGAGATGGACATGTATGAGGTAGTGATGCCCAAGATGGCAGAGCTGCTCCGAGAGATTGGAGTCACCGAGAAGTTAACCGCAGAGGCTGTAGTCGTGGATCGGGAGCGGACCATCATGATCCTCGAGGATCTGGCTACTCTCCGATACGTGAATGCGGATCGAGTTAAGCAATTGGATTTGAATCATACTAAAATGACGATAGATATGCTCGCACGGTTCCATGCGGCAGCTATAGTCTTGAATCAACGCTATCCTGAGATCCTGGCAAAAAATTACTCATCGCACTTTTTCTCACGTAACAAAAATGGCTACAAGGAAATTTTCACGGGCTTGTTCAGGGCTTTCACCAGGTATGTGAATACCAACCCAAGCCTCAAAGATCGCTATAGCGCCAAGCTGGAACACATTGCTCCCAATTTGATGGAGTATGCTGCTCGTTCTGTCGATGTTGGGGAAAAGGACTTCCAGACGCTGGTTCACGGTGACTGTTGGACCACGAACGTCATGTACCAGTACGACGACGAAGGAAATCCCACTTCGATTTTACCTATAGATTTTCAGTTCAGCTCCTTGACATCTCCGGTGGTCGATTTGCATTACTTATTCTCCACATCGCTGCAAGAAAACGTAAAGGAGAAGGAAATCGAACTAGTTCAGTACCATTATTACGCACTGAAACAATACTTGGATAAGTTTTCCTATAAGGGTGTTTTTCCCAGTTTGCACGAGTATCAGCTTCAGTTCGAGCGCCGCCGATTCATGAGTAAGTCGAGACACATACCCAGCCAAAAAATTGTGTAAGAGTTTTTTCTTCCACAGCCGTTATTATTGCCAACGTCTTTCAACCTATAATGGTATACGAGGGCACAGAAGAGCCTGAGTTTGTGAATCTCTATCAGGATACACCAGAAGGCATTCGATTCCAGGACTCAATGTATGCCTGTGAAAAAGTCCAAAGAATTGTGGCAAATATTTTACCAATTATGGATGCCAAAGGCCTCTTGGACCCTCAATGAATTTAGCCTGACTATTTTTAATTATATTGTACAAAGAGTATTATAAGCGTGGCAAATTTCTGATCTTGAATAAGATTGGTTTGAAGCTTGAGGATTTACAGTTTGGAATTAAGATAAGATTTCGTTTGTTTGCTCGTGGGAACATCATGCTGTTGAGAGTATTCACTCGGAATCACACTTGTATTAATAAATAGTCATTTACAGACACTGTAAACGCTATGTGTGCTAAGTATACCCTACGGTGTGGCTGATTTGCAATTACTGTCTGGCAGTCGTCATTTAAGTCTTTTATTGCTGAGTGATAGAGATACGAAATTACTCAAGATTACCACTGGTGGAGCAGACAAAATGGAAGCTCCCACATAAACGTTTTGAACAGTCCTCAATCCAATGTGCGAAGCTTTTACGGGGTGCTTCAACCCCTAACATCTTTGATAAGAAAGCTCTGCGCAGCTGTTGGGCCAAAACAAACCCGAAAGCGATGGCCAGTAGCCTGTTGACGGCTAACAACTGAGCGGCACGTTCAGTTCTGACTTGTGTCTTACGCGGCGTATACGCAACGAGCGGCATCGGCTGCAGTACGCTTTGGAGGCAAGACTATATAAGCAAGGGATGCGCCCCGAAAGCCAACAGATGGTCGCTGACTGTGCACGCGTGTGGTTATCGGAGATCAGTAAACACCCAAACTAAACGCTGAACATTAATGTAATAAAAACTGTGCACACAAAAAAGAACGAAGAGGGGAAAATACGTAATAATGAAAATGCTGCCGCACATTTATTCAACATTTTGATGTGGCAAGCAGGAACGAAGCCGAAATTCTTTGGATCGACAAAAATTATCTGAAGGTATGCTCCCAGCGATGTGTGGAAAACGTTTTGTGTTTGCTTTTCCAACGATTTCAACGATCCAACGATGTGCCGCCATTAAATTGTTGAAGGCGTGAAAATTTCGCAGAAGCCGTGAAGCGCTTCGTCGTAAACGCAAACGCAAAATGAAAACGTCTGTATTGCGGCAAAGTGGGCCGCGGAAATTCGCTAATAACCCGCCGGACGCGGAATCGTCGTGTTTTTTTTTTATTATGATTATTTTCTGGGGCCGCTTCGATGAATCCAAAATGCAATTCGCGGCGTTCGCACAGTGAGCGGTTCGGGCTTTGGCTTCGAATCAAAGTAATCGTAAGAAAATATTAGTGCGTTGGGTGTCCCTCGCGTTACCGTGATGGGACGTTTACGGCTATAATGCAAACTGACGTGTGCAAGGGGTGGGAAAACTACGACTACGAGTCTTCGGTCAGTGAAAATGCGCAGGAAGTTGTGGGTCATTCAAACGAATCGAATGGAAAATCAGTGTCTACCGTGCAACCCGGGAAGAACGAGCGCCACAAAGTCGGCGAATTACTGAAGGATGTGTCTGGCTGGTGCACTCAGATATAAACCAAAAGCAATTTGCTTAATGGCCATATTAATGGATTCCGAATAATGAAACATAATCGATATTCGCTTAATGGACTTTCGTGCGTGAATTAAAGTATTGAAAAGAATATGGAGACAGGGATTAATATAAAGATTAAGTGAGCGATTTTTTTTGCAAGTTTTTCCTAGAGAAAGACGAAGCTCCTATTTCAATTTCGTATATCTTCTACCTTCAATTGCTCCAGTTCGTCTTAAAGACTTATGCTATTAAGGAGCAACTGAAGGTGGGTTGGGTGGCATTTTCATTAGACTTCTGAGGCTAAGCTTCTTAGGCCGTCGACTCATCAAAACTTCGTAGTGCCATGTGCCTTGGCTGCTCAGCTATGCATAAGTTCAGTCTCTGTACCAGCTGTGGAGCAGGGAACGACTGCGCCTGAGCAATGCAATCAGGGACAGGAGACCGAGACCGAGATGCACCGAGTTGCTCCGAAAGTTATGCATGCCAATACATGCAAATGTGCAGCTCTGCTCTGCTCTGCTCGAAGATGCCCCAAAGAACAACAATTTTGTAGAAACTTCTCCGGGCCATGGGGCCTGTGTTTGCTATAAATTCTTCAAGCGCCGAGGATTAGGTTGCTGCGAGCTCAGCAACTTTGTCCCGAAAGAATTTTTGAAGCATTTTAATTAAGTTGATTTGGGGGGCCAGAGCCATCCAACTTGTCAGCCGTCAGCTGAACAGTGCATCCACATGGTCGCGTGGTATACATCTTTTATTTCTTTGGGCGTGGGCCACTTGAGGCATCCACGTATATGCTAAAAAATTCAACAATTGCCTGGTCCCCTACGAAAACGTGTACATTAGCAGAAATTGCGTTTTTTTCTCTCATTTTGAATTCGAGCAGCGAATATAAATCAGGAAAATTCCCGCGAGTGCATTCGGAATTGCACACTAAATGAATAAATGTTGGCGTCGCAGCCATAAGAACAACAAAAATTCACTCCTGTCACACCCAGATACAAACAGCAAACAGGAGACAGCCAGAAGAATACGCTCGAGGCACTGGCAGTGGGAGCGTTGGCAGGAAGATGGTGAGTGTAATTGCAATATAAATACTTAAAGCGCCTCGTCGGCTCAAGTAGAAGCCATTTTAGAGTAGATGTCAAACGGAACGAAATTACTCGTACTTTGTTCCCAAAACGAAAAAGTTTTCTCGGGTGTGGCTTTCTTGTACGTGTGTTTCTGCTCTGTTCCTGGCAACACAATCTGTCTAACTTAGCCATATGGCTGCTGAGAGCTCATTCCATTTGGCATTTATATTGTGCTCTTATATGTAGTCCTGTGGCTAAAGCCGGGGGAATTTCGGTTGAGTACCTGCCCTACTATGATGGCAACCTCATATCCTAATGAGGCTATAACATGGATACAAATTTGAAAATAATGTTTGAATAAGCCAGCAATCTAATATTTGGAAAAAAGACTGTAAAGGGAAAACGAGAATATTCCCATTTCCTCTATTTGTTTATTGTTGAGAGCATTTTCTTCAAAAAATAGCAAACCAGTTTCAACTTAAGGTAAAAATGCTTACCACCATTAAGGCAAGAAAACCAAAGCACTCTGTGGCATGTCTTTGACACCGAAGAAGTGTTAAGCCATATAAATTCCTTCTGTTGCAAAGGACGAAAGCAAACAAGAGAAAATCCAATCTTAGTCTATGTTCAAGAAGCTTGGTTGATTAATTCACAGGGAAGCCAGCTTTCTCACTTGGAGAGATGTTACAGCTTGCACCGGATCTCCCTTCAGATGCTTATCCTTTCACTCAGCTTGTGTGCTTAAATTGAAGTTGACCAGAAAAACTGATGAGGCCAGAAGCTATCGCCACTTGGATTTCCATCCGAAATCGAAAACAATTAATTAAATAAATGTTTGGGTTGCTGCTGCTGCTTCTGCTGCAAGAGACAAGAAAAAAGGACGTTGAAGAACCCAAACACAAATTGAGAAATTCGTAAGTCGACAGGGGCAATATGTTATGTTTTTGTGGCAAGCAAATTGCACAAACGGCAATAAAATTCATCTTGTTATAGAAATATCGTTGGATAGACAGCCACCGCCCACAAACAAAGAACATCAGCAGAAATAAATCACAAAAATAGCTGAGTCAAAATTCCGACAGGCAGCTGCCAAGCCAACACAGGGATCCGATTCGAGATGGTTGGGAATTGTGTTGGCTGGCATTTAAAATCTTTGTCACGCTCTGTTTATCCAATGAAGCGAGAGAAACATAGCGAGTCTTTCCTCGTGGATAGGAGGGGAAACGTCCTGAAAGCGTTGACATTCCAGAAATTATACAAAATGTGTGACAACTGCCAAGGACTTGAGGCTACTTTACATAATTCTCCTGTCGCCAGCTTTTCCGGGAGGACGCTCCACGCAGCTCCGTTGGATGTACTGCATATCTCATCTAGTCGGTGCCTATTGCTCGAGGGAAAATACATGAAAATTCAATTTTCACCTCGCCTTGGATTCGTAGAAATCGTGTAGGGTCGGTCTGTGATTGAAATGTCTGCGACAAATTGATGATCATCTCAGCTTTTTGTGTCGGGCTGCCTCGGAGCCAATTTCTTCATTGCGAGATTAAACTTTTTTATTAGCTCCGACCAGGGGTAAGGAGGCGAACGACCCCTAACTGCTTTCAAATGGATACGGTCAAGCATTTTTGCGGTCAGCAGACTTTTCAGTTGGGGTTGGCCGAATTCTCAAATGCTTGAGTTTGAGAACAAAGTTTCCGGCCGTGCAAATATTTGTCAATTAATTTCGGAACAACTTTAAATTAAATTTCCATGGAAACGTTGCTCAATTCCGCACAAACACACACATGCTCTGTCTCTCCGTCTTCCCTCAATGAATGGTGCTTATCTGCTATCTCGATGGAGAGGCAGAGCCAACTGATTGAAGTGATTTAATAGCGCCTCATTTATAGCAGCTGTCAATGGCAATGCATACCTTTAGGCGCTCCAAGAATTCTGTGTCGTTTCGGCCCACCTTCGTCGCGTGCCATTGCCCTTTATCGATACTGACAAGTGCGCAGCCATTTGGTGCATAAAATTACACAAATATTTTTAGCAAATGTCGTCATTTATAACATGGCTGTATCTGATTGCTGTCCTTTGGAAATGGCCGACATTAGGCATTCATGTTGCTTGGAAAATCTCCCGGACGAGAGCCTTAAAATTTGTTTGACTTTCTCTAATTATATGCATAAGTCTGTCACTGAAGATCTACTGCATAATGGACACATCGTAAAGGTAGTATGAGCTGGGGGCCGGGGCTCCTTTGATACAGAGCTATCTAAGTTAGAGGCATGGCAACGGAGTGCTAGAGCCCAGATATTGGCCACAATGTTATTTGCTCCCCATAGCTTGGTACTGAATAACTGAAGGAAGTACCACAAATATTGGAAAAACTTTAAAGCCAGGCAGCCAGAATAATGTCGGCCCTCACAAGATTTTGTCTGTCCCATGAACCATGAACCATGAACCATGAACTATTGGCCATTGTCTGTGCTCAAGGAAGCAATGCGACAACTAAAAGCTTTTGAACTTCTATCAATGGCAGAGATCTCAACTCAATTATAAGGCAGCCCTTAGGTCGAGGGTTGACCTTGAATACTGTATTATTTTTCGGGTGGGTCGTAGATGGAACTGAGGCGTCAGAACTTCAATTCGTGTCAAATGCACATCGACCCAGTGCTGGGGCGTGCTGGGCCACCTACTGGCACCGAGAAAACTTTTCGTACGGTTATTACTTTGTATTTTTAGCCAAGCGCATAAAACGTGAGTTTGTTTGTCTCCCCCTGCGTTTCGCTCCGATATGTAGCGTGTGCAGTAGGCCAACGCCATAAATCATACGTAATGTGGCACGCAAAGCCAGCGCCTATCGCCCTGTGATTGAACGTTTGTTCCTAGATTTGTCTGGAATAATGAGCCACTTTCTGCATGTTCTTTTCCAGATAATCAGCATGAATCAGACAGAATCGGTGTCCCTGGTTGCTGTGCAGACGCTAAGCGGATACGCCAGTAGCAGCAACAGTGTCCGGCTTCTCGATGACCATCATCCCCTGGACTATCTGGACGTGGGAGCGGTGGGAGCCGCCTCGCATGCTCTCGTCAATGGTACAATCAATGTCACCACAACGGAGTACAACGAGACGGGCAGAGGACCCCTGGACCCGGAGCTTGTCGAACGATTCCTGAGCAATCGGGCAGTGGACAGTCCTTGGTACCACATGCTAATTAGCATGTACAGTGTCCTAATCGTGTTCGGGGCTCTGGGCAATACACTGGTGGTCATTGCTGTGGTCCGAAAGCCAATTATGCGCACGGCCCGTAACCTCTTTATACTCAATCTGGCCATCTCGGGTAAGTAGTCGTATTTGCGCAGCGTTGACAAGAAATCACTTCCCATCTGGGTACGGAATAATTTCAGATTTGCTTTTATGCCTGGTCACCATGCCGCTGACACTTGTGGAGATCCTAACCAAGTACTGGCCCCTCGGCTCCTGTTCTATCCTCTGCAAAATTGTCGCCATGCTTCAGGCACTTTGCATATTCGTTTCGACAATATCCATAACAGCCATCGCCTTTGATCGATATCAGGTTAGTCCTTTTTCAACCACTACTAATGTTTCACAATGGGGGTCAACCGAATTTGGCCTTGTCATGCCCTGCTGTTATGGAGGTAAATGCGGCATCAATTTGTAGCCATTAAATTGGATGAAAATCGATACAGCTTGAGTAAATATTTGGCCGTAACAAATAACAACCCGACGATAATCAGCCAAAGTGAATATATATATAAATAGGGCTCCAATATAGCGGAAGATTATAACAGTTACTAAAAGCATTTATGTTTAAGCTAGCATGAAGTACATGTTCTTCCTATATGCTTAGCATTACTGTATCTCCATATTTTCGGTTCGCCTTTCCTTTCTTCCCATCCATCCATTCGCAGGTGATTGTGTACCCCACCAGGGACAGTCTACAGTTTGTGGGAGCCGTCACAATACTAGCCGGAATCTGGCTGCTGGCCCTGCTGCTGGCCTCACCGATGTTCATTTATAAGGAGCTGCTCAGCGAGGATACACCACTTCTGCTGCAGCAGATTGGGCTGCAGGAACAAATAAGGTTCTGTATCGAAGACTGGCCGACCAGCAACGGCCGCTTCTACTACTCGATCTTCTCGCTGTGCGTGCAGTACCTGGTGCCGATCCTGATCGTATCGGTGGCCTACTTCGGCATCTACAACAAGCTGAAGAATCGCATCACCGTCGTCACCGTGCAGGCCTCGTCACAGCGCAAGGTGGAGCGCGGCAGGCGCATGAAGCGCACCAACTGCCTGCTTATAAGCATCGCCGTCATCTTCGGTGTGTCGTGGCTGCCGCTGAACTTTTTCAACCTGTACGCGGACATGCAGCGTTCGGGGTCGGGCCCCACCTCGAATATGCTCGTGATATACGCCATTTGCCATATGATTGGCATGAGCTCGGCCTGCTCCAATCCGCTGCTCTATGGATGGCTCAATGATAACTTCCGTAAAGAATTTCAAGAATTAATATGTCGTTGCACTGAATCCACTAATGTTGCTCTTAATGGTCACACGACAGGCTGCAACGTGCAGGCGGCGGCGGCGCGACGGCGACGCAAGCACGGCGCCGACATCTCCAAGGGCGAGCTGAAGCTGCTCGGCCATAGCGGCGCCGCACTCTGCGGGGGTGCCAACGGTGGCGATGGTGATGCCACAGGTGGTGGTGTGAGCATGGCTGCCACCGATTTCATGACCGGACATCAGGAATGTGGACTGCGGAGCGCCATGACCGAGTCGGTGGCGCTCACCGAGAATCCCATGCCCACGGAGGTCACCAAGCTGATGCCTCGGTAAAGACACACATGCAATCCTTAACCGCCCTCTGTTTAATCCCTTGATTAACCCCATTAACTTTAACGCAAAGCAAAGTTAACGTTTGTCGTGCATGGACCAATCTTACACCTGAGATTCTTTTTTGTGTGTTTGTGTGTACTCCAAAAGCTAATTGGATTTGCATGCTCCAAAGATCCCATTCTCGCTGAGTGGCTGGCTGGCCAATTTGGCTACTGTTTCTGCTCCTTTTCTGTTGCAACTTTTCTGTTGCACCCGTCAACTGCATGCCTCAGAGCTCGTTTCTCCGTTTCTCCATATTTTTGCAATTTATTTTATTGTAGCCCTGACAAGCTGAATGTCGAAGTTGCATGTGGCAGTTGCCGAGTGTTGTTGGAATGGTGTGACGTTATTGGTTTTAAGTAGCAATCGAATATGACTCAACAGTTTATGGACATTTACAGTTTGGAACAATACTAAATTGCATTTTGCATATGTGTACTTGTACTCCATTTCCTCCTCCTTCCGACTTGTGCAATCCCAGGCCCCGCGGAGCAGCGAGAGCCGTGAGAATCGTGTGAGTGATGCGACGTATGTACGACGAGTTGCTTCCCAGTTCGTTTTTAGAATTTACATGAATACGATATATTGTCCAGTGATCCAAAGCCAAGCTGAGTTAAACTTAAGTTAAGACAGACAACGAGGAGAAATCACTACTGACCTATGTATATGATATGTACATATATATCTATTCCTAAATCATCACCTTCCGTATCACGTTCATTGACAAAAAGACTTAGTCTAGTGACTATTTTGGTTGATCATTTCCATATCGAATTCCGAAAAGTAATTGATTGAGCCCCCAACTGAAATTCGGGAATTTGATAAGTCGATAATAAGTTCCCATTATACATACAGTTCCTAAGAAGCGATCTATTGTGTTTAACCCTCATATTTTCGTTTCCCCTCAGAGACCTCGATACCTTTTCGAATAAGCTAGCCATAAATACATAGCTCATACATATACTAGATGTGAAGTGTGTCATTTTCTATAAATAAGTACATATAAAATTCACAATACAAATAGATATAATTGACAACTGTATAATATAATAATCTTATCCGTAAGTTTAAAGTATATAATTGTCAGTTCTTACAACTATATAAACCGATGTTTGCCGTCTGCTGGCATTTCACTAATGCCACAATGAATTTTAATAAATGTTGTTTACAAATCTAATGAACAATTGACTGATTTATTCAACCATACACAAAGTCAATAAATACGAAATGGGTGAGGGTGAGCCGGTGGGGAATTTGGATGGTAAGTCGAAATGATTTACGGCTCATGGGCTTAGGTAGTTGTAATTTATATGGGAATGGGAATTAAGGATGGTCAAAACAGCAGTAAACACCTCCGTCTATAAATATTGTTTTATGAATAAGAGATATTCAATCGTATTTGTATTTTACCCCATTTCACAGTGAGGACTCACAGGTCTGTGAGGATTTGAAATATGGGATTATATGATTTTTTGGCATCAAGATTGAGTCCACATCAGGAAAAAAACAGCCAAAAAAGCTTTTCAGCTTATGGGACATTGAATAGGGACATCGCATATATATCCATCTGTGCAGACTGTCGCCTCTACCAGCGAAGGGCCAGACAATACTTAACCTTTGACGCTTTCCGTTGCCCTGCACGTATGCGATACTCTAGCAGCTACCACATAAAAAGCTATGACCCCATAAAAAGGGCGTAAATGTAGGCGAACTGTGATTATGGTTACACAAACATGTCTAGTTAAATGGATTCCCGGCGGAAGTTGTGTGTGGCATGAAGTCGACAAAGACTTTAAGGTGGCTAAGAGCATTCAGGAACCGTTGAGCAAAAAAAACAAAAAACATCAAAAGACCGCAGAGAATGCAACTCACATGCGGCCACGAGCATGTGGGTAATATAGTACTCATTACTCTCCAGTTTCATTCGGACGGGAAGCTTTCGTATTACCTTTTGAATACGTACTCAGGTAAGAGAGAGATGATTACAATTCAATTAGTGGAGCCTACGCTACGGTGGACCGCACACTGGGTGAAAGGTCAGCCATCACAGATGCCGGTTCCGCGACGTGTGACAGAAACGTGACCAGCGGCGAGTGAATTATGTGAGACAACAACGCGGACGAGAAAAGTGAAATGTTCCCACAAGGTAGAGTAAAACATAAAACAAAATAAAATAAACTAATTAAAAATCTCTACCCATGAGGAATCAGAGATGTCGCCAACTGGTGATGCTGCTGCGACTGCTGCCAGCCCACTGTTTTGACGGCTTGTAACGCTCTTATGCACTTGCGGCTTGTGAAAGTGTTTACTTTACGTTTCTGTCACTGTCAGACGCCGGGGCGTGGCCACAGCATAGCACAGCACAGCTCCCTCCACTGCTGCACGGCTGCGGTCGTCATTGGACGATGATTATGAAAACCCTATTCAACTTTCTTCCCAGCCAGATTGCGTAATGCAAACAAGCCCATTCTGAATATCGATGGCAAGTGTGAATCTTTTAGTCCAATGAAGTTTCCGGCGCTTGGTCATGAATTGGAATTTGACTGAGAGAGGAGCGGAGAAGAGCCCAGCGTGAGCCCACAATTAGCATATTTATGAGTAAAAGTGAAATTAATGATTGGACTGAAATGCAAAGAAAAGGTTCGCAAATATTGACAACATTCAACCAATTTTGCGGCAGCCCAAAAGCAGCTGCCTCGCATGGGGCCGGTTCGGGCTAAGACTCTTCCGGAAACGTCGAGGCATAGCATTTGGTGAGGAACAGCACAGATTCAGACGTAGACTCAGACTGATAACGTAATATTTGCCTGGGTTCAAGGCACTTACACCAAGCCTTCTGTCCGAGAGTCGGGCAGACACATATAAGTTGCATGTGACGGAGAGATGTCAGAGGGCTTTCTACTATGCCATCAATTGGCATCTCCATCTCTCCCGTTTTGCTTCGCATCGGGTCGCATCTTGTAGCCTAATAGACGCTAAATGAATTCGCTTTTAAACACTTTCACAAGAGTATGGCCAATCTTTGCAGATAATTCATGCATTGTGTTCGCATAGAAGTTGGCCCCAATACTATTTTTTAGAAAACATTGCACACCCCATTGTTGCCGTTGCCATTGGTTTGTTACATTTAGAGCGGTTATTGATTTTGCGGTCTCATAAACTGGCTTTCATTTCGTTTTGCCTTTTGAGCTCTTCAGTGCGGTCAGGGGGAGTCGTTTCCGCTTGTTGGCCACAAGTCAATGGCAAAGTTTGTCACCAGAAATTAATAACAATGTGCCGCTTAGTTGGCCAATTCTAGACGACGACTTTCTCATGCGTAAACCGGCCAACGAAATCCGCTCTCTCCCGCTCGCTCCCGCTCCCAAGCCGATCATCAATCAGAGTCTGTTCAGGTACATACATATGTATGTACGCACCATAAATAAGTGAAAATCTGCTAACACTTCTGCACTCGTTTCGCTGCCATAACCAGACCAGAAAACAACAACGAAAATGTTTGGCAAATGCGCCCAAATGAATATTTTATTATGCATGGCCACAGCATGGGCCACCATACTGCTTTCGTGCACCGTAATCCTGTAATCCCTCCGACAATACCATTGACAATACATATGCGTGTGCACACCATTATTGGTTGCACAAAGCAGGAAAAATTGGAAAGTCCTGAGAGGTACATTTAGAAATCAGTGCAGCATGGTGCTCTGACCAACCGCACACGGATTCGGATTCGAATACGGCCAATTCAGCTTCAGCTCAGACAAGAGGCGAAAAATGTTGGTAAAACTTTTTTGCTTGTCAAAAAAATTCTGCCAGAGTAGATGCGCTTATCAGATTCTTGCGTTCGCAAAATTTTTTCTTTATAAAAACTATTTTTCAGGCGCTGACCTTTTATGACCAGAGTGACCATATTGTTGAGTCTTCTTTCCCTTCTCTGCGCAATGGTGCAATTTGTGTAAAATGGCGCCTCTGGCAGAAATGCAAAAGAATGAAAATGTAAAAAAGAGTCCGAACTTTAATAAAGTTTTGTGGCAACTCATTGCCAAGTTAAGATGACCCAGATTTCCAGTTGGTAACGTCAAACAAAATCGAAAGTTCGCGGACTAAGTCACCGACTAACAGAGTGACTAAATGACCGCCTGCCGCTAATGTATTCGCAAAGAGTTTGAGGCTCATTGTGCGACATGATGCAGCGTATTTCTTGCTGTTCATAATATTTCCGAACAAAATTGACAAGCAATTTCACGACGACAACACAACATTTTCATATTACATTTCTTTCACTGGAAAAAGAAGGAGTTTTCATTAGTGACTAATTTTCCATAAGCAAGAGAAAAGTGTTACCGCTGTTGCTGTTGCTGTTGCTGCCACTGACAGGCACCCGGCGACTTTGTGTTCAGCTCCAGCTCTGGCCTTTCCCGTCAATGTCATGGCATGTGACTGTGGTGCTCTTAAGCCGCTCTCTGCAACACCAACCGAACCAGAAACCAGAAAGCTCAAACTGGTTGATCGCACCCGCCGTTAGCTTTCGGGCTTTCAGGCCACAAGCGCGCCGCAGTCCGATTCGTTGAGAGCTGAACAGCAGACGCAAACGCGCGAGAAAGCAAGCGAGCAGACCCGAGTGTCTGAGTGCCTGAACGTTTCATTGGCCCCATTGATTAAAATAAATGTCAAAATATAACTAATCATTGGCGTGTGCTAGTACGACAGTTTCGCCAAGGTGCCATTGTTCCCGCGAGACCTGGAAGTGAAGCGCAAGCGCCCCAAGTGGCTTAAAGTGAAGTGAAACGATAGAAACGCAGTAATTGCATTGACAAAGGAAGTGAATAAGAGTGAACGGGTTTCGTCGTCGGTCAGCTTTGTTCAGCATTTTCACCGAGCCAAATCCAAGAGGCGACTGACTGGCGCGCAGTGAATGCAATTCCGATTTCGAAACGAGCGAAACAAAACGAAAGTCTGGCGAAGAAAGTGCCGGAGCGAAAAGTTCTGCGCCGATGAAATGTCCATGCAAAAATTCAATTAGGCGGCGACTCCTGACGGAATTACTCGTACTGTGCGTTATACGAGAAGGTAAATTGAGTTGTAATTGATGACCCACTGCGATGGCAATCATCCATCATGGACCCAGAGAGATATTCTCAATAGCAGTAATGATTGCGAGCTTTAATTCGGTTAACAATTAATGAATCATGTACTCTACTCTGTTTTATCGCGGGAGAATGTTTAAACAACAAAACGAAAATGATTGTTAACATTTCACTGTCGACACGTTGGCTGTTGTACCTTTGTTGTTTTTTTTTTTTTTTTTTTTTGCTTTTTAAAGGCATTTATTTGTGTTTCCATCTGTATCTGTATCTGTGCACCGCCGAAGCCGCTATTTCAGCCGCTGTGTGGGCTTGGAAAGCTGGCCAGGCAGCGAACTTAATAAGAAAGCTCGGACGCTCTATAATTAATTGTTAAGAGATGCGATGCTGTTATGTAAGCCCCAGCTGGCCTACCCCAACTGACAAAGAGAATCAACCGAAACAGCTCATCTTGGCCGGCAATCGAAAAACGTCGCATCGCTTACGATACTTTCTTTTTTGCCTCGATCTGGCAGCGATTCGAGTGTGTCATGCGTACCACCGTTGGAGAGGGCCCACGGGGCCCACGGGGCCCACAAGAAAGTCGCAGCAGTCAATCAACTGCAAAATTATGAAAATGATACGGCAAGAGAGCTTCGCCCATTTATCAGTGCCTCTTAACGGGCTGTAGACCACATATTAATTACCGTTGAGCTGGACAGTGAGCCGTGGAATTGTGGTTAGTGGTGCAGCTTAGTCGAGTGCATCCTCGATGGTAGATGGCACCACTACCACTCGAGAGTCATGTCTGTTTGCCAAGTTGCAAGCTGGTTGCAATTTGCCCCACTCGCACTTTCATTTCAGCAGTGAGTGCTGCAAAAGATTTTAAAATCCCGCCTGCGGGATGCGAACGACGTGCGGAAGATGCTGAGATGCTGGGGAGGCAACTTTCTTGGCTGACACCGGTTTGAGTGCTCTCATATCCGACAGCTGCAGATCCAAGCCGAATTCATATCACATCCACTTCTGCTACACATCTACAACCCCCAAGAACTTCCATATGGAAATGTTTGTTTGCTGAAGTCTGACATTCCCTGCGGAGTGGGAGTGACATCTTCCGTGGGCGTGGGCACGGGCTTGGGCCGCCCTTGTACATGGCTATGTCAAAATGTGTTTTCCGCTCACTTGAGCTTGACACTGAATTGGCTGTGAATTGAATGTAATTTGATGAACATTTTGCTCCACCAGCGATTGCATCATTTGCAAACTCAAAGCAATTTTAATTTGGGTTTACAGCACAGCACAGTTTTAATGACATAAATGGCCGCCTGACTGCCTGCAAATGACGCAGATGAAACTTTCTAAAACAAAAGCGAAATGGCAGCGAATCGCACATATGTATGATACCAGGGATTGTTGCCACTTCAAAATATTTAAACAAAATGCGAGCAGCACAAGCACAGTACAAGTGTACAAGTACAGGCACGCATGTAAATCACTCAATTTCGGTGAGTGGCCGGGCTAGGCCCCGACGACGCCCCGAAAAACAATCAGCGCCTAATGGGCCCGCGTACATTCCGGCCAAATTGGTAGCTAATTGGCGAAAACATCATTCCATTTGACGCAACACAGAGAAATTGCATTAACAGCGCACCGAGGGATCAGCCCGAATCGAAAGTCCTACTCAAAATCGATAAAAGCCATTCGAAAAAGGTCTTGAGAAACCAGCAAGCCAAGGCAAAATGGCTCACGTAGGATCCATTAGTTTGTATAAGACAGAGAGAGAGAGAGAGAGAGAGCGCGTTTGGAATGGATTTTGATTATAAAGAAAGTTAGTGCCCATTCAGGATCGGGGCAAGGTGTTATGGAATAATATTTTATTTCTTTGACTTAAGCGAGATAAACTGTTATTACACATAACACTGTGCGACAGAGACATTTTACTTTGTATCTGACAAAAATTAGGTTGTAGGCGTATGAGTATGTATGAGTATGAGTATACCGCATCCATCCACATACTTAGAATGTGCAATTCAAAGAAGTCATTGAGAATAACAATCTCATATAAATAACATTACATCTTATTATTCTGGAATACAGATCCAGATCTGTGTCCACTAGCTCTAGTTTTTATTCCATTTAAGAACCTGTTTATGTCTGTTTATATTCTCTACATGGTATGACCTTGCGAGTAATACATTTTCATTAAATTTCTGCTGTGCCAACGCAACTTTGGGTGAATGCACTTGTCAAGCCATATAATGTTGGCCACCGACTAGACCTCCTCCATGGCTCTCTTTAGAGCTTAGAGTTTCGCGGTCGTTTCCAACTTGTTCTCGACTGCGTGCGGACTTTTGCCGGAGGGAACAGTTATGTCACACACAAACAGCTATGATGCAGCCACCACGGTTGCTTTATGACCGCTTTTGACCGTTAGTGGACGCCGTTTGTCAACCAGCTACACTCTATAGTTCAAATCCAAATCCCGACTTCAAACTGGTTGCCCGTGCCCGTGCCTCTGCCCGTGCCTCTGCCCGTGCCTCTGCCCGTGCCTCTGCCCGTGCTTTGTACTTTGTCGCTTCACAGCTGGCGTTGGCAGTAGTCGAGAGCGGTGTCGGTGTCGTTGGACGAGCGTGTCGCAAATGATAATTGTCAGCTTATTAGCCTCATGACCCTTACACTCTTATATAAAGCTAATGGATATGTGTGTGCCGATGGTGAGCTGGCGAGACTAAGACTCCACTTGCCCCCCAGCACCAAACCAGACATCATTGCGTATTACAGAAGATGGGCGCGCGGGCTGTCAGAACACTGAAAACTTTTGCGACTTAATTGAGAAACTTCGTTTTGGCTGAGCGCCGCTGCACAGAATAGACCAGAGCGCAGCACCCGAGAGAGTAGAATATGGTAAAAGCCAGGCGGCAGAGGCAGCAACAAATCTGATTAAATGCTGCTGCTGGTGCTGCTGGAACTACTAAAAGTTTGCCTCAACTATATCAGGGCGGAATATTAGAGCATGAAGGCAGACCGAGCACAAACTATAACTAATTCCTACTTTTTACCTGGCTAAAATCGGGCGAGAGGGAGTATAGAGCGGAGCAAAAGGGTTCGAAAATGACGTGCGTGTATTAGTAGCTGCTTCTAAGCTGAGGCAATTTCAAGTTCTAATTGTAATTGTTCAAACAAATTTGCATAAAGCGATAGCCACGGCCCTGAAGCGAAGCACCCTGGCTGCGAATAATTAATGCAATGCCCACACGGGATAGCATGAAATTCACATCAGCTCAGAGAATATTTTTGTGAAATATTTGGACAGCCCCATAGCAGCTGCACAACAGAAGTTCCGACTAACAGACGAATGAGAAATGATAAATGGTGCCCCTAGATGGCCAAGCAATGATACTTATGTTTCCATTACTCTGAAGGGTTCATGGCTTACTGTCGAGTAAAAGAAGATGCATCTCGCTGCATAGACAAAGTGAAGGGAAATGCTTCGCCATCAGCCCCAGGGCCAGCAATCCGATTACAACGAACCGAGTTTCCATTCAAACGCAACCAGCGTTAAATCAGTCAACGGATCATTCAAAGCCGTCTCAATTTGAATGTATTTACAAGCCTCAAAGCGCAGACCAAGATAGCTCATAGATAAAAAAGTATCTTGAGGCATTTCTGCATCTCATTTGGTGCTTTAAGTTATCACTAAGTTTAATAGGTTTTCTTGTTTAAAAAATTCTAGGCAATAAAAGAGGGAGTTTCCTGCTTGGCTCTCAAAGTAAAGGGAGTGACTTTACTCCCTCCTCGAACTGCTGAACATCCTTGACAGAAAACTACGATGAAGCGTTCTTATTACCTGCCAACATGTGTTTCAATTAAGTTTACTGTCAGCTGAAACCATCGCTGAACAAACGCAAACAAGAAGTTTTTGGTGGCGGCGGCAGTGGCATTGCGCTGTGTGCATTTTTTTTGGCGCAATTTGCGGCAATGAAACCAACAAACCGAGTTCTGTACGAGTAATCGTCATTCAAGGCATTCGTTTGTGGACCTACTTGGCGCTGTTCGTTTGTGAAAACGAAAGTGAAAATGCAACACGAAAATAACGTGATCTGGGCGTCTGATGGCAACGCCAACGCCACTGCCAGAGCTCCAGCCAGAGCTCCACCCGATGCTTGGCAAGAGCTGCTCCGCTGAAATGGCTGGGATGTGTAAATACAAACAAAACTGTGTACATTTTCACTTTTCCCCAGAGCAAAGCCTGAGTCTGACTGCCTCGCTGCCTGACTGCCTGGCTGACTGTCTGACTGTCTCTCTGTGAAGCTCGCGTGAATGGCGTGTCAAACAACGCAGGCTGGCAAAGGCAAATAAAAAGTTGGCGACGTGCATTGTTTGGCCAAGGCAAGACTGAGGTGCTTGGGAGGCGGGCACGCGCCCTTAAATTGAGAGACACCCGTCAAATTGGCAACAGAAAATCATTTGTTTTTGCCAGGCTGATTAGCGAGTTGGCAGAGCCTTAAAACGGGGTTTCGATGGGGTCAGGAGTGAATGAAGGAAAGCTGTGCATATTGTACGAACTCTATTAGCTGCCTTATACATACGTCCTACGAGATATGCCGCTTGGCAAGGTCATAATGTGCTTATCAAGCAAATCGTTTGGTTTCCTGTCACGTGCCTTAAGGTGCCATAGAGTTTGCATACAGCTTTGAAAGATCTGGGTGCGTGACTGGAACTTCTTACAATGTTTAAATGTGGCCGTCCATCGTGTGCCAGGCACTGAGTTAGTCCCCAATCTGCTCCAAAACGTGAAATAAAGCATTTTAATGATGCCATTCTTCGTTCCAGAGACTGTGCACTGCATCCGGAGTACAGAAAGCAGCGTCTGTTGTGGCATGCAAGTGAAGGAGCAGTAACCACAAGAATAATGAAAATGTTGAGCCAAGCCCTTCTCGGAGCAGGAAGCACGCAGGCAAAATTAAAAGCAAACACCCACCGGAAGCGACGGTGCAGACCGCTGTTTTGTTGCGTTCTGGTGCTGTGTCATCTCTGGCTGGTTGCCTCACAAGCTTCGGAGGCGAGTAGATCAAACTTGGAAGCACCCTACAGTCAGCCCCTGACAACGATGGGTGGTGCGCCCCGCAACGATGACAACACGTTTCGACCCATTCTACCCATCGACATTAGCCCAGAGTTCATATCCCGCAATGTTTTCACAAAGACGGGACAATATCGCGTCTTCCAGCCCGCGGAGAGCGAGAGTGACCTTCGCCTAACGGTGGCCATGAGGCGGCGCAACTTTAAGCATCGCCCAGAGGCAATTCCGGCCACAAAGGTCGAGTCCAAGAGTATTTCTGCAAAAAAAGTTGACGGTCAGCAGGGAAACAGCTCCGCCACTCTACAATCTGAGCTAAAGGGCTTGGAAGATCTGCTAATGGAATATGTGGAGCAGTTCTTCAGTCAGGGCAAGTATGAGCCCGCACCTGGCCTGGTGATTGCTCTACAACAGAATCACACGAGTGCACAGCGCATCACACGGAGTATTTTGGAAGACACCAATGTGGAGGTCAATGTCCCACGAGCTCTGGAAAGTGCCCGGCTTCTATTTTTCAGCGGTAAGCCGTGAAGGAATAAAGACTGGAATTCATTACACAAAACATACGATTTTCCATTGCAGGCTTGAAGAAAATAATGTGGCCCATATATATGGGATTACAGGTGCTGAAGAGTGTGCTTTTTGCCATGTTCCTGCCGACCATCGTTAGCAGCGTGACTCGGCTGATTGGCAAGGGTAAGATCTGTCGAATTTTCCCCAGAAATTTCAGTTGTCTTCAACATTTCAACACCGACCAGGTATTACGTCCGGCTCCGCCAGCTCCGTGCCTTTGTTTGTCCGCCCCATGGAACCGCCGCAGGAGCTGGACTTCCGAGACAACACTCTGAACTTTGACGACGACAGCAAATTCAGCTTGGCTGACGACAGCAAAACTGCTGGAGCCTACGAATACAATGCAGGTGGGTGCTAGTTGCGTTTTATCTGTGTATATAAATGCATAATAAATCAACAATTTAATTCGCGCCCCCCAGAGGCCTCCCAACAGCAGGCCCAGTATGCCAACTTCAATGGCAACTCAATCAACCAGGCGACCCTTTCCCGCTATGGCGGCCAGCAGATGATGCAGGACACCTACCTCAATGCGCTACAGAACATCGGTGCCGCCTCCTTCAAGAACTCACAGAGCCTGTCGGGGTCGTCGAGTGCAGCAGGAGCTGCCCCCGGCATGACCAAGAAGCCATCGCCGGCGGTAATGAACACATTCCAGAGCTTCCAAAAGGTACCCAACTCCTCGCTGCTGCTGTCCAACTACGACCCCTTCTACAGTCCGCTGCTGTCGCGTCTGGACTCGGTGTTCGCTCAGCTCAAGCTGAACTCGGCGAACGAGACCTGCCGCGAAAAGCTCATCTGTCTGATGTACTCCAACCCCGCGAAGTATGCTCCATATAGCAATCTGGTGTCCGCGCAGCTGAGTCGGTGAGTACGACGACGTCCGGAAAGTATGCTAGGGAATGAATTTCCCCATTAGTCTCAACAAAACTTATGTTCTTTCAGAGAGCTAAACGAGTTGCGCAAGCCCACCTCCGATAATCCGGACATCCTGCGCTTCTTCAAGTACATGCGGGCGGCCAAGGACGGACAGGATGGCGTCGACTGTGAGCAGTCGTTTGTCAAGTGCACGGAATTCAAGGATTTCGAGAATCCAGCAATGCTTTCCACCTACAACGACATCAACAAATTGGTCCAGGCCCGTAAACTGACGTAGACGAGGAGCAGCATCCAGCATCCAGAATCGGATGGGCGGAACAATGACAGCAAAAGTTCGCAAAAGTGAAGTCAAACTACGTCTGATGTCTGTTGTCTAATGTCTGAAGTCTGGGGACTCGAGCTGTAATTATGCAAATCGTACTTTAGATAGCCTAGCCATATACAAGTTCGTTAGACGCTCCACCGGAGGCAGCTGTCAGCAGACGTTGTTGCGGCCAGGTCGGCCAGGTCTGCCTCAAGAGTGGGGCTTGTTGGGGGTTTGGTTTTGGTTGATTGGGGAGGGGAAGGGGACTCCATTAACATGCTGTAAATAGAAAACTTTTTAGTTGTTTAATTAGCACGAGAGCACCAAGCAACGGATGATGCTGTTATATTTAGCCATTTAGAGGAATTTAGTATAGTATTTATTTATAGCCTAACGTATTTTTAATAATTTATTCTGTTGTTGTTATCCACGTAGTCATCAAAAGTTGTTCAAAGCATTATTTATAAATAACCAATAAAGTTATGTTGTACCATCAAGATAATTTGATAAATTAAGCGGCCTTTGATTGTCCTTTTTACTACCAAGAAATTTGGGAAAGGGAGTCTGTTGGCCACTCCTCGAAATACCCTATAACATTCATGATTGATTAATTCAATATGATGTGTGGATGTCCATAAATTCTATATATATTTCTCCCATTGATTGGAGCTGGGCCCTGACTGTCCATTTTATACGTCTCCTCAGAACTCAATTGCTTCAATTCATTATAAATAATTACATTTCAATTGTGTTAGTTATCCATTCGCTTCTGCAGCTGTTTCGTACTGGATTTTTTTCATTTAGTGTACAATTTGATTATTTCCACTCCGTTTGCTGGTTGCATAATTAATTCCAACAATAATTATTTGATTTATTTTAACGAAGTTGTTTTTGGAAACACTTTTGCAAAGTGAAAATGAAAGTGTAATTATTCGAAAATGCTTTAAGCTGTGTTTGAAACTGCAATAACTGAAAATGGAACTTAATTTATCTGCTGCGTAAAACCATAATTATTGTATCAATCCAATTGAATCCAATTAGTGCTGGTATAATATCCGCAACCGGATATTACCAGGCACGAGGGACTGCTCGCCAAGCTCAAGGTACTGCTCAACCCCCAGCTGCCCGAAATAGTCAAAAGCTTCCTGACAGAGAGGACCTTCCGTCGTCCAGGATGGTGCAGCATCATCGACCAAATCCATCAGGTCAAGAGCATCGCAAGGAAGTGTGCTTTGGCCGACGCTACACTCCCATTCACCCACGACATGCCAAAGCCCACCACGGTCCGAAGGCAAACGGGGCAGACCCTCAAGGTGGCAGCGTGACTTTCGGTAGCCGCCATCCGAAGCGTTCGGAGCAAGGCTCGAAAGATGTATTGTCTGCTTAAGCATAAAAACAAACTTAGGCTGAAAAGCAAGGCCTACAAAGAAATATTATTGTCGCTGAAACAAACCTTACGAGAATCTGTACCTTCCAGAGAAAACTGCAGCACAGGAGGAGACTGGTACATCCGGATCTGCGACAACTCCAGTCCCAATTGTTGACGACGTTATAAATGGACCAGCCGAGGGCCATGCTGTAAGGTACAGGCGACTTACCAGTACCAGACTCCTCCGTAAAGTAGCCAAGCTACACCCAGCGGACCTACCCAACAGGAGGATGTAAGATGGACCTAAGCCCTGAGAACCTGACAGAGAATTCCCGGGATAAAGACCCACATGCTGCTGACCCAGGACCGCTCCAGGACTAATCCTATCATTCGAATTTTATCCCAGCCGATTATGGAAGTAGCTGTAACAGTTTGTATAACAGTTTTGTGTTATTTTTTATTAATAATAAACAACACAATTAAAAAAAAAAATAAAACCAAATACAATTTTCATGTTGCTGTTCAAAAGTAATGTGCAACATAAACTTTATTTTTTTATGTCACTGCCTTTAAATACTCGCCTATATATTTATTTATATATATGTATGTATAACAGAGTGTGAAATATTTTTGTGAATGCATGGGTTCACTACACTGGTATACCAGTTCTGATGGCGTGATCCGAAAATAAGCTAATTAACCAATGTTTCTCCGAATCATCGAAAATACTCGTAAATAAAGCCTCGCTGTCGACTGATTGTAAATATTCATCGCACTTTCCTCAGATTTGTTTTCCCGCTGGAAAAATCCTTTGAAGGGCAAGTGGAGAATGCAATTTCCAATTGTGTAATACATTTGCATTGGATTGGGAGGCTGAGGCTAAGTAGATTGACAGTGGCCCCACGATTCCATTGTCATCGGTCTGTGCCTGCGTCACAGCCACAACACTTGACATTCTAGGAGCAGAGCCATGCTTTTGAGGCATACCCACCGAACGACCGACATGCTGAACCATTTCCGCCTGGCGAACGATTGTGTGGTCGGTCAGGGAATTGGAGGAACAATCTCAGAGGCGGCGATTGCCACAGCATCGAAATGCGGGAAAATCCACATTAATGTTGCGAGTCTCGGGGCTTTTCCCGGTTGCAAGTAGCAGTTGCTCCCGCTCCCAGCGGTAATCACGCCACTGCCACCACTGCCCCCACAGCCCTGCCCAGCTTTCGGCCAATGTGGTGCACACAGACACTTGTATGCTGATGCAGCCATTTCCATAGTTTGTTCACATTTGCCATGACTTTTGGCAATGTTTGTGGCGCCCCTTTTGTGGGCGTTTGCAAACCAGTTCAGCAAAACGGAGCTCAGTAAAAGCAATCATTGCCTGTGTGGCAATCAGTCGAAAATTACATAATCCCTGGCTGGGAGTGACGTACCTTTTCCCGCCGATCCATGTGTGGATGAGTCACCCGAACAGCGGACAGCGGCGGTGTTGTCTCTTTAAATCAAACTCAAATTAAAGCCAAGGCCTCGACGTGCGCCACAATAATTTTTGGGGTTTTCTCAAGGCACACGAACGCTCTCCCAGCCGGACACAAGTCGTTGACGTCGCACACCTACAGAGCAAGCCCTCATCGATCGGGTATCTCGACCCCCAACCTACCTCAAGCTCGAGCGTGTTGATCGCTCGGGCTCCTCTGCCTCTCAACCATCATCATTGTGGGCTGGAACCGACGACGCGTCTGGGCCATTGTCTGTTGACTCTTTTTTTTGTGCATGTTGTCTTGAGGTGCTCTGCCTGTGCCACTTCTTCTGCTGCTGCTGCTGCTGCGATTGCTCTCCTCTGCAACTTCTCGCATTTCATATAAAATCTTTGCCGGCCAGCAGCCACGGCACAGTCGCTTGTAAGCCAGCAGAAAGGCAAAGTCGCTTTAAGTCAGCCGTTAAGGATAAACCAAATAAACCACCCTCAAGCGCTTATAGGAAACAACAAAAGGTAAACGAAACACCAAACAGTGAAAACGGCGAAAAGCCAAGTGAAGTGAAGTGAAATGAACTGTCAGGCGCATTGCGTAATAAGTCAAGACGCATTGACAGTGTAATATGTTATTATTACCAGTTTTAAGCGGCCTTACAGTTATGCCCGAGAGCTGCATTTATCTGGAAACCGATAAAGCCATAATTTCCATATATCGTTCAGATGATGTTGTAATACCCGTCCACATTTCATTGACCTTCGATGGCAAATGCAAATTCGAAAGCCAAACAAATAAACAAACACGACATAGTGACCAAAATTTGGATTCGCTTTCAACATCACATTCGCAGTACATTGACTGAAGAAAATGTGGCCATGAATCATTAATTTATTCAGTAATTCAGCAATACTCCCCACGCGAATTGGGCAACAGAAATTGACCTTTAATCCTTCATCTAGCCCTTGGGTGGGTACCAACACATACAAGCTTATTAGATACTCGTATCTTATTATTTTGAGAACGATTAGTTGGGATTACATGTTGGGACATCGAATTACAAATGTAGTTAATACACGATACAGACCTGGACTTGACATAATCACTAAAATAGTGTTGCATACTTTCGGCTACCAAATTTCATGTAAAACTGATGTAGAAAAGACCAGCTAGCGAATACCATTTCGTGTTGCGGAAACGCTTCCTACTCGCTGTTCTACACAAATCTAATATAATAACAGGAAATGTTCTCGGAAAAGTTGCGACATTAAAAGTTGTCCTAATGGCACTAGTTTCCGCTTCCTTGTACTAGTTCCAACAGCTGTTGAATTATTGTGACATTTTCTATGAATTTATCAGTATCAAATAATAGTTTCGTGGCAAATTTATGTGGCATAATGTTGGTAAAACCAATACAAAGCATTGCGCTCGTTTGGCTTCCACATTAGATGGAGATGACCCTTCAAAAGGCCACCAATGCGACCCAAGCTACATTCCAATTGACGAACAATCGGCACACTGATGAGCGTGAATCGCAAAACTCGTAGCCATCCCCCCATAATGGAGGAGCGAAACGAAAGCAAGCGAGACTAGGCGCCTGAGGAGCCCCTGGAGCATAACGAACTGTTTCGTGTTTGAAGTCAGTTGGCGTCGGGCGACAGTGGGCCATGAATCGATGGCACAAGTGTCCAAGTACGTTGAAGACATGGCAATTTGGAAATAAAATGAATCACAAATAAACCCAATTTAGCCCATAGTCCGCATCGAAAGAGCATCAAATTAAGCACGGTTTAATGCACGGTTTCTGCCTGACCAAACTTTTTTGGACCTTTTTAAAGCACATTAGGTCCGCTGTTTATGCGTTTTCACACAAAATTCAATTACGTGCATTTGCCGCCTCATTGCTGCCAAAGGGTTAAGCGCACACAACCGGTTCGACCTGCATTTCACTTTGGGCGCTCGTCACGAACCCAACTTACCTCTCTGTGTCGGTTTTGTGGCTTTCTTCTGTACTCGTGTTGTGTGTAGTTTTTTTTTTCGGCCACAGAAAGCTCAGTGCGAGAAATTTGTGGCAGCTTTGCAGTAAGCAGCTGCTCGAGCAGCGTGAGCTGAAAGCGAGAGTTATTACATCTAAGCGTAAGCGTTAAGAGGCTGGCCCGAAGCTGCGCTATAGATGAACCATCGTCTTAGTCTTAGCGGACCGGCCCCTGCACGCCCCTTTACGCCGCTGAGAAGTGTGTCAGCTGTGAGTCAGAAAGCCGATGCGATCCGTTAAACCACTGAGCAGATAATGGTCTGGTCTGAGTGTAAAAGTTGCCAAAAAAAGTTTGGATTTCGGAGTCAGGTTTCTTTCGAGTTGTTTTGGCGTAGCGTGACAAAATCGAAGAGTCAAACATAATCGAACGTTGAGAGTGATAGAGAAAACTTCGGCTGACGCTGTTTTACCGGTTCAGTGTCAATTAAACGAACGAAAATTGTTTATACATCGGCTGAGGAGACGTCAACAACAATTATTGTTAGCTTGATGCCAACGGACGTGTCTAAAACTGTGTCTTCTCCTGCTTTCAGCCATGGCAATGAGAGCTATCGCCTTGCTGGCCATAGTCGGCGCAGTCGGCATGGGCCTGGTGGCCGGCGAAGGTCTCCGCCTGCCCGACCAGCAGTCTTCGAACAACATCCAGCAGGTGTATGCGCCGCAGCCGCAACTACAGCCTCAACAAATCCAGCAACAGACACAGACGCTGCAGTTCCAGCAGCAGCAGTCGCAGACTGGTCCAGTCGGAGTGGGTGAGGAGCGTGGTCGCTCTTCCATTTTGAGCATCTTTGGTCTGGGAGGCAACGACAACGATCCGTATCTGGCACGCACCAACAGCAACTGTTTGGGCGGCGATCTCTCCGAGTGCTTCAAGACCCAAGCCCTCAATACGTTCGATGAGATTTTCTACAGAGATCAGTACCGGTAAGGATGGACAATCTTGACTGATTCACTTCCTAGCTGACTCACTGAACACCAACTCGTTTCCACAGCCTCTCGGACTTTGCTCGCGTCGTGCGTCTGCCTGAGACCCAGCAGCGTTCCCTGCTGCAGGAGCCCTTCGAGTACTCCGAGGAGCCGCGTGGCGAGGATGACGACTGGAATTTGCTGGTGAAATTCGCCCTCCGTCGGGCCGAACGGTAAGCTGTCACAATTAACCAAATGACTACGGCTCGTGGCCGAGCCGTGCCGGATGCAAATTAATTTGGGTCGCTGGTCACAGTCGCCCAAGCTTATGCATAAAATATGAGATTTTTATGAAAATGCAAATTCTAATTCTCTGGCACGTTTCCATCCTCTTGCTCTTGCTACAGATTCATCAAGTCCACGGCGCTGGAGGTTGAGTGGCCCGAGGAGCTGACCGAGGCTGGCCGCTACGAGGCCCGCTTCATTGGCAACGACATTGATGATGAACTGGATGTCGTTGAGAACAAGCGCGCGGGTGCCTTCTGTAAGTCCTCTAAAACATTAAATATTAATTCTGACTGCCGGCCGCTAATCAACTTTCTCGACCCTTTTTCCCTTTTTCTGTGCAGCCCGCAAGAAGCTGAAGAAGATGATTATTCCCCTGCTGTTGGTGCTGAAGATCTTCAAGCTGAAGCTGCTCCTTTTCCTGCCCTTCATTCTGGGCATTGCTGGTCTGAAGAAGATCCTCGGTCTCGCTGCCATCATCCTGCCCGGCCTCTTCGCATACTTCAAACTTTGCCGACCACCAGGCGGAGTTGGCGGTGGTTTCGGCGGCGGCCTGTCCGGCCTCTTCGGCAGCAAGAACACTTTCCCCGAATACACGCCACAGGGAGTCGGTGCGGCCACGTACTACCATCACCATGAGCACTTCGAGGGGGGCGGCCACGGAGCACCTGGATCCTTCCCCTATCGCCAGGAGCCCAGTTTCGCCAAGCCCTACACTGACTACTACAGCAAGAGCTACCAGGGCCAGCAGCAGCAGCAGCAGGTGGGCGGCAACTCCGTCAGCTTCGGCGATCCGCAGGAGGCGGCCTACAATGGCTACTACGGCCGCAACACCGGCAAGGACATTGCCGCCGAGCCCCAACAGCAGCAGCCACAGAAGAGCTAAATGTGGATCCGAGCACTGTCCACATGTTGTTATTTATTTGGCCCTCGGCCTTGTTGCATTCCTATAAGAATATTTATTACGCTAATTGTAAATAAAACTAAACTTTAAATGGAAAATAGGTGGCGTCTAGTAAAAGTAGGAGGGGCCTTTTAATTAATGGTAACAATTTCACTGCGAAATGTTTTTCCAAATTCTGCACTCGCTCTGCTTTTACTGGCTTTGAAGTTGCTACAAATAAAATGCAGCTTTTAATTAAGGCAATGAAATACCGAGGCGAGAAAACTGAGGAAAAGTGGCCTGGCGTGTTTTTTTTATATTTTTCTTTGGACACGCGAGGGTTGCTCCATCGTCTCTGTATACATATAATTATGAGTTCTATATTGAAGAATATGTTGAAGTTTCAGGATCTTAAGAGTAATATTCTATGCAACAGAAAGTGATTCTTGTTGGAGATCCAATTAAAAAATTAGATTATTTCCAATGAAACTTCCCTTCAAAATGGTGATACTAATCGAACTCCTCTCGTCCCGGCTGCTCAGTCTTGGCCAACTTAAGAACTGGTAGTTCAAAGTCAATGCCAGAGCCAAAACCAATTTAGGGGTATTGGCGGGCTGCTGCCTGCCACTGTCTGGCGCTGTCAACGCTCCACACTCGTCGACACCGTCGGAGGAGTCGACTGGACCACATTTTCCAAAAGAAAGCGTCCCGGCGGCCGGCAGGCAGGCGACTGCTGTTGAGAAATTGTTATGACTCTCTGCCTGTGGCCAGAGCAGGCCGAGAAGGAGAAGTGCCTGCTGCGGCAACTGGATTGGGCGGACGCATTTGTGATTTTGGTGCGGTTTGATTTTTGAGCCACACAAAGATGCAACACAAACATAAAAAAGATACAACGATCGCCGGGCACATGTGCCAGGAGAGCAGAACAGCGCAGCGCAGCACAGGCAACGGTTTACGGACAGATCGCATAGCGGTTTGTGCCACTGTGCCCCACTCCCTCCGCCAACTTTCGTGGCCTGTCGCCCCACTTTGGTAGAGCACTGTCCACACTAGCCTACTTCCAGCGCTGCGGAAAATTAAACACCTCTTGCGGCTGACCGCCAATTTTCGGTGTGTGCAATAACTTTGTGGTCTTGGCATGAAAATGGATGGAAATTTGCTCGATAAATGGCCAGCGGATGGAGCACCTGTTGGGGTGCCACGGTGTTCCGCCCTTTCTCGCTGGCGATTGTGGAAACTGTAATAAATGCTATAAATTATTTCCTCTTTACTCTTAATCTTTCCCGGCTGAAAGCAAAAGGCGCTTGTACATGCTGCCCGCTGTGGCCATAACGGGGACCGGCATGTGGCAGACTGAAATTGGTAGCGACAAAGGGCGGTCCCAGGGTGGGCGTGGGTGCCCACAGATCAATGGGTAAAATAACACGAGCTTTTCCCACGAGACATCCCCACAGATAAGCTGGGCAGAGGAACAGAGGTTCATGCATACAATTTTCAGTCTGTCGCTAATGGCTACCGGAATGCGGATAAAGAACTCAAACTTAATTCATTTTATCTGTTTCGAATTTAGGTATTTTTAATGGTTGAATTTAATTTAGAATTTTAAAATTTCTCTCTCTTCTACTGCGCTACTGTCTTACTCTCTGCTTCATGTGGAATGGCGAACCTTTGACTAATTGGAACCACTAAAAAGTTTTCATGTTGGCATGCGTGTCTTCAATTGCAGTCTGGTTTCCCTTCCCCCTATCTTTCTCTCTCTCTCTCCCTCTATCACTCTCTCTCCCTGTGTGTGGGAAAATTGGCCTCTTTGTTGTTGGGAATTAGGTCTGAAGTTTACTTTCCGCTGTCTTTGTTTTTCTTGACAACCCACGCGGCAAAGACAACAAAAGCAGAAGAGAACTTGTCGTCGGGCAAAAACAAATCCAGAAGTGGCCTGGGCCTGTGCCATGCCTTGTTCAGAGACAAGGCCATAAAGTAGCAGCTTCCCAGAAACTGAGCAGAATTTCCCGAAACTGGCCAAACGAGCGCGTCCATTGGTCCGTTGGTCCATAGTCTGGTGGCTCTAGCTATGGCTGAGGCTGAGGCCAAGGCTCTCACGTCTTTTGGGGACCAGTTCCAGCCAGCAGCATCAACAACTTCAACGACAGTCGACAGTTGCCTGCAAAAACAAACGCCGGCGTCGCTGGCACTGGCTTTGGCAGAGGCCTGTTTTGTGTTTGCAATGCTTTTGGTCGCTTTTCATATAAAATCGAAGTCACTGGCGGAAAATTCGCATTAGGTTTTCTATCAAGACGACGATGTCAACAGCAGCAGAGCAGCAGACGGCGTGACATTAAAGAGCAGAGCGTAGACGCGGGCGTTGTGTGTGTTGAGAGTGTGTGTGTTTCAGTGCTAAAAGGATAAAGCCAGGATATACCAAATACGACTATATGTAAAGACAATAAGTGGCAGACAACTTTAGTGCTATCCGAAAACAAAGAAAAACATCTAACCGAAACAAAACAAAAGACAGAGAAGAGGTCCGAGCCATGCAAACATTAAAGGTCTGCACGCTGCTGGCGTTCTTCCTCGTCCTCGTATCGGCCAGAGGCAGCAAGCGAAGGGATGGCATCCTCACGGTAAGGTCCAGGAAAGTTCCGCGATAACATTGGGCATTACTTGCCAGTGACAAGGATACAAGTTTTCCCTCTAAATAAGAAGCGAAAGCCAAAGTCAGTGGGGGACCGTTTTGTTTTATCGGGATTTGCGCACTCAAAGGAAGAACAGAATGGACAACCACAAGATAGCCTGCAGCCAAACTTCATCCATTGTCCCCCATTAAGCCCCATTTCCGATCATTCCAGATAACCGATGATGAGCGGCGGAACATCGAGGATTTTCTGCTGGCCAAGCTGAAACAGAACTGCAGGCAAGAGGATGACCGTGCCTGCAGGATGATCAAGATGTCCATTGTTATGAATCACCTGTACCTGAACACTCGCTTGGACTTGGGCGACCGAGTAAAGGTCACGGAGAACTGGTAAGTGGGTGTTGGGTGGTGGGAGGCTGACGAGTGTCCCATTAGCTGTATTGTCGCATCCGTAGGAACATTTCGATGGTACCAGATGACCCGGAGGTCAACCAGTTGCTAGCACGTTCCATGGGCTCCGATGAGGAGACGTTTGCCCTGCTGATGGCCAACAAAATGTGGAAGTACATCCGGTCACGTTCGCTGCGCTACAAGTTCACGGACAATGCCGACTTTGTGATGAACAGCGATCCGGAGGGCAGCCTCAATATTGGCGTCTCCGTGCGGCCCCTAGAGGCACTACAGGAGGGTCGTGGCAAGATGAAGAACATGGGTCCCATGCTCATGATGATGGCGGCCAAGACGGGCATGGTCGGCGCCTTACTGCTTAAGGGTTTATTCCTGCTGGCCGGAAAGGCTCTAATTGTGTCAAAGATTGCCCTGCTGCTGGCGGTCATTATATCGCTGAAGAAGCTTCTTTCCAGCAAGAAGACGATTGTCGAGGTGCCCTCCCACCACGACAGCTACAGCTCCGGCTGGGCGCGTGCCTTCGACGGCTTCGTGGAGGGCCTGGTAGATGTGCCGGCCGATATTCTGGCGAAAGAGGTGCAGCACCAGCAGGAGTCCCACGCCCAGGACATGGCCTACAGCGCACAGCAGCCGGCCAAGGTGACGCAATAAAAGTAGTAGTTCAACTGCAATTCAATTGTTATTTATGTTATTAGATCAGGAATGAACTAAATTGGGTTTTCTGCTTAACAGCACTTTCCTGACGGCTTAGGGAAACTTTTCTCATGCTCTCTCTGTGTCTCCATCTACCCCTTTGAATCTCTGTTTGTATCTCTACATGGTAGGTAGTTTGTGCTTTCTCCACTTTCTCTCTTCCTCCTGCACAATTGCTCTCTTTCTTCACTCTCTTTTCACTTACTTTCCCTCTGTGTGTTTTCTCAATGATGCTCATTCTCTCATTTGTAATTTATTTATACTTACTTTAACGTATGTATTTATTAATATTTATTGCATAAATAAAAATTATACCCGAATCATTTTAATTTCTGAACAACTTTGTGCTCCATTCTTTAATGTTTTTTTTTAGTTTTTGTAGCATTTGATTGCTAATTACAGAGACATTGAACTAGACTAAACGTGTGCGCTAGGTTTCACTAAATTAAGAATAAATAATAAATAATAACAATAAATAAGCTCATTAAATTAAAAGCAGCCTAAAGCACTCCACGTGGCCGGGCGAGTGGGATCCCTCATCTTTCGCAATCGTGTGTCACGTCCGCTGTTCCTCCTATGGCAGCAGAACAACCTTCTCCTCACCTCCTCCTCCTCCTGGTCGACGCGTCTACGGTCTTTGGTAGCGGGCATTGGGGTGGGCGGGCCAGCTGCACTAATTGCCTAATCATCGCCTCAGGAGCGGTAGTAGGGCATGTGCGGCTGGACGTAGTTATAGATGAGTGGTCGCCTGGCTGGATTGGCTGCAACATACACAGATGAGATATTTAATCAGAGCTTTTCTGCTTTCTTGAGTGCAAATAGTTGGCCATCGGTAGTGGAGAAAAATTTAGTATATCAGGGCGTGCCCAGGTGTGATAATCACACCCCTAGAAACTCTATCCCGAGTGTCTCCTAAGAGTTAAAAAGTATTAGAGACGGAGAAAATCGTTCCAGTTGACTCCATTATTTATTTTCAATTAAGATTTTCTGTCAGCTGCGAAGTATGCAACGATTTCCACAGAGACATAGAGACCAGTGTGTACACATTCGCCTTTTAAAGACTCCATTCAGTGACAATATTTTCAGGAAACTCAGCTTTCATTGAGGTGTGAGTGTGTTTCTGTTGATTTGAATTAAAGTTTCATTCATTTCTAACACTTTCTGTTGTAGATATGCAAGGAACATAGAAAAGACTTTTGACACGAGACGCATTGAACACTCCATACGCTTGAAAAGTATGCAATTCGTAGTGGAAGACCCCTCAAATTTGAGGGGGAAGTCGAAATATCCAAAACCATATAATGGGAAATGTGAATAACGCATTTTAGAAATAAATTCTCTGCGGAAAGTGTTTGTGCTTTGACTTTGTGATCCGCAGAGAGTGCTTTGGACAGGACACCATCCCAAAATACAGCAAGTGCGCGTGCCAAGAAAAAAATAAAATAGATAAATACACTGCTCAGTCATCATCCTCATAGTCGTCCTCTATGCTGGCCTCGGCCGCCACAGCAGCTTCCGCCAACGTATTGAAAGTGTTCATTTTAGCGAGGGAAGAATAGGCTGGACGTCGGCCACGATATCTGGTATGGCGCCGCGACCACTTAGGACCACCCCAACCCATACCCATGGCTATCTGGAAAATCGAGAGGACTGCATCAACTTACACTTACTCTTCGCCATCCAAGAGTCCTCACGTTTGATTTTATGGCCCAGGCCGCCGAGACCGCCCAGAGCTGCCAGCACCTGGGTGTGGTTGCTGCCGTCGCTGGAGACCTGTGAGTGCAGATGACTCTCGGCGCTGAGGCTCTCCAGGCCAGGATGACCGGGCAGTTGGCCGCCGCCGGCCATTGCCAGATGATGCAGCGAGCCTGGATACATCTCTGGAGAGATATCGCCGCCATGAAGACCACCATAGTCCATCCCATAAGGCATCATATAGGGAGTTTGCTCCGGAAACTGATACATCATCCTAGTAAAATCAAAGTCGGACTAGGTAAAGAGACTTGTTAAAAGATCGGCAGACTTACTTTTCGCTGGCATTATCCATCAGCTTCTTGATCAGGACTATAGCGGCCACGACAAATGCGATTTTTGATAGGATTAGAGCCTTCAGAGTGAGCAGACCCACCGCCTTGGCGGCCACCATTGTCCAACCAAATGTTGTCGCTGCCAGATACATGGGTATGAGCATCTGGAACTGCTTCTTGTCCTGGTGCTGATGTCGTCGGCGTAAGACTCCTCCACCTCCACCCCCACCTCCGCTATCGCCACCTCCTAGTCCACTTAGTAGGCCGCCTCCCCCGTTACCGCCGCCTCCAAGGCCGCTGCCACCTCCGCCTCCGAGCAGACCTCCACCGCCGTTGCCCTGCAGCCGCCCTGTAGTTGGATTTGAGAAACAAGACACGTTTTATGCTTTATGGCCGTAATGGCTACGGTACGTATACGTAATAGTACGACAGAGGACAGGACTGGCTTGGCTTGTTCTCTGATGTTATGTGATGTGATGTGATATGATTGATGGGATCCTGAGTCTAATGTGTATCGAACGTCGGTCTAAATGAGGATAAATAATGGCAGTTTGGGCTGCCAATTTCATTGATATGCAGCAGGCAATGTAATAGAGGATTCTGCCAAGTTTTAACTCAGGCAGGGTCTGGGTCGGAAGCCTAAAGTGTTGTGACATATGTAGCCTGTCGGTAACTGGTTGCATGCCAAGTGGAAGCAGCTGGTGATGGCTCTCGAACAGAGCTAAATTTTGGTTGTTTGGTTGTCAAACACATGTACGAGTACATATGTCAAGTGTTGATTGGGTTCCTGTCATTCATTACCTGTGCCGCTGGAGGCCTTCTTCAGGAGCGCCACCTCAATGTAATCAGTGTCGTCTTCCGATCGCTGCACACTAAAGACCATGGGGCCAACGGGCACCCGCACGGCATTGCCACTGACAAAGTCCATGAAGCTGGCCAGGCCTCGGCCTGTGCCCCACTTGTGCTTGTGTGTTGCGTCCAGGTCGGGGAGCCTGACCAGGTCGAAGAGTCCCAGCTTGATGGTTTCGCCCCGTCGGTACGAGGCCATGATCCCATTGGCAACGCCGTACAGACAGCTCGCATTGTTGGCGCACTTCCAGCTCAGTTTATCCAAGAGGTCCGTGTTCTCGACGCTCCCTGTCGGATTAGGCGCATGCTTTGAGTGGGAGTGGGCGGTGCTCGCTGACTCTTCTCCCAGCCCGTTGGCCGCGTTGGCACCGCTCCGTTTGTGGATGGCCGCGGTCGTTGGCTGCAGGCAGCTTAGAGCCAGCAGCAAGCAGCTGGCAGCAAGGTAGGGCAACATTTTTTTTAATGATAGTTGTTTATTTTTTGTTTAATTTGGAAGACAACACAACACTGCAAAAAGGACGAGAGCGAGGCGAGCGCGGCGTATCCTTCACATGGATAGTTGTCGACGGGGACGCGAATAGTTGGCAGTTGATGCAGCGCCTTGCAACACGCTGCTGTAAAGACTAATTACTAGACGTTGCATGCAACTCAGTTTTATTGGAGCAGCAGCCCCCATCTGTGGTTGTAGCAGCCGCCGCAGCAGCAGCAGCATCTAACACCGGCTGCGTGCAGCCCCAGCGGCTGCCACAACAACAACAACAAATGCAACACCATAAAGTCTGCTCGCAAACAATTTTGCTACAGTTTTGATTTCAAGTCAACCAGCTGAGTGACGGCCATCGCTCAGCAGGCAGCCGCAGCATCAGAAATCAGACTCTGACTCTGATGCTATGCAGTCCCACGTCACTCTGTGCACAGTGGAGCTGATTCGAACAAATCAAACCATTTTCTTTAGTTGGAGTTCGAAATTCATGTTCAATTAGCTAACGATACGCTTCAACAATCGAATGCCAGAATAAACAATATGGTGTTCTACAAAAGTCCATTCCAACTGGTCTTCATGTGCCTTGATTGCTATACCCAACGATTGAAAATAGGAGATTTTGAGTTTAAAAAATACACCTTCACTATTTGCTCGGTTTTTATCTAACAACATTAAATAGAATTCACTTTGATTTAAACGTAAATGCATTTAAAAGAGTTTTTAATAATTGAAATAAATGTCAAAATGCAATCCTTAACATTTTATTTTTAGAATTTCCACTCTTGTAGAAAATATATTGGTATTCATTTTTAAATCTGACTTTTAATACTAAAAATGCAGGGATTTTTTTCTCTGGGTGTAGTAATTTAAGTTGGCATCAACAAAATAAATTGATCCTATAAGTACAGCCTACCAATCGGCATTGCAGCGCCGATTGAATTTAGTGTTGATAAAACCAAATTCGCCCCACTGTAATAATATCCCTGAGTGCATTCGCCTGGCTGAAATTTGTTTTGTTTTGCATGGAGCTTCTTTTCATCTGCTCGGGATGGGGAGCCACTCCCAAAAGGGTCATAGGGTGATCTAATTACCGACAATTGCATTAACCACATGACATTAAAGTCAGAGTTTTTAAGGTGCAGGTGCAGGGAACTCCACATGAGTCTTGGTCGTTGGCCGTGGACGTGGCCAGGCAAATTGTCTGCGCCGCCGGCGTCAACGGCATGCGGCCGCTGTACTAATGCGGCTAATTTACTGCTCATTAATTTGCCAGTAATTTGCGAGAAATAATTTTCGCAGGCAAAAGTAAAAGCAAGGCACACAACAACTCTACACTCTACAACACTCAGCACTTTGCAGTGAGTACTCGCAGTAGTCACAGTCGACAATTAAATTGCAACTTTGTGGTACGGGGACGGGAGCGGCAATGGTACTGGGAGGAGCAGGAGTATGTGGGCACGGCACGCCTCGTCGCCTGCGCCGGACGGGCAGCATATGCAGCGCCACAATTCACAATAAATAAATAAATAATAAGAAAGAAAAGTGAAACGAACTATTAGCTCTCGTTTTTCATAGATCGCCGCAGCGGCGCGTCGGCGGCTCGGCTCAGTTACATTCTGTTGCACACTAGACCGGGAGCGGGGGATGTAACGGGAGGCAGATGCATCATGAGCGAGCTAATAAATATTCACTTTTGAGGCGTTGAGGCAGCCAGCAGAGAATCCACCTGGGCTGCTGGCACTGGCACGCAGACCATCGCGAGTGAGCGAAATAATTGCGGCAGAGCCGCTGCGGCATTGTCTGCAATTTGGAGGCAGTAACACTGGCAATCAGACCTCGACCATTCTTGCTGCGGCACCATTTTGCAGCCATCCAACTGAGCTATCCATCTATCCAGTTATCCTATCTTTCTATTGTAATAACCATAATCTGGTCATCCCACAGCGATGCCAACTTGACACCCAATACCCAATATCCGAGCTCAAAGCGCAACGCACAAGCCAACGCGCCGGTCAATGGCAGCGATGGCCACAAAAGCACAAGTAATGCGAGGCGACTTGGCGTGGTTTTGTTTACCAAGAAAGTGAACCACTCGCAACCGCAGCAGCAGCATCTGCTCCGCCATTGCAACAATGCGCCGGACTGACTGGCCGAGGCCGAGGCGCGGACCAATGTCAGGCCAAAGCCCAGGCCCAGACCGAGGATAGTCATTGAAAGGAAAGTGACGACGCGGCTCGCTGCAAATTGTTGCGGGCGGTCGGTCATTCCGAAAGCGGTAATCCGATAACGCTAATATTCGCCATTCATCCATCTTCTTGCCCATCCGCAGCACCAGATTTCTATGTCTTTGGGTTTTCGTGTGCTACCGAAGTTTAATGATCCTTGACTGCAACTGGATCCATTTTAAGCTACAGGGCGGGGCAGCCAACGGAGTTTTGGGCTCTTGAAAATTCGCCCCGTCTTAATTGGCATTCATTTCAATATTCCAAAGGGGTGGTACGCACAGTGGCCGCACTTAAGTGAAACTAAAAGTTGGCCCAATAACATTTCCTTTCATTATAATTAAAATGACTTCCCGAACCCTTTATTTTCTCTTGTATTAGCAACTGAAATTAATTTAATAATTAATTCTAAAAGTATCACTGCAACAAAAAAGTTGTATTATATTCGCACATTGAATGCATGATCTAGCTTCTTGGTCCTCAACAAGTGCTTCGACCAGTGCTAATTGAAGCTTACTTCTTAACCTCGTGCAACCTGCAAGGACTTTCCTGAGCCACCCCCAAAAGTTTTGGCCACTTTGTTGACGACGAAACTTTGTCTGTCTTTGGGCCAGAATGCAAGAGCGCCATGGGCTAAAGTTTATACTGCATTCCCAACAAATTGCTTAGCTATTCGCGCTTACACTCCAATGAGAAGCAATCCAACTGCGAGCTCATTGAAAGAGTTTTAAGCCTAATTCCTTTTGAGAGCACTCGGTTTGCTCTTTGAATTGTTCACTCTAGATATAATCTAACCCATCTTGAGCCGCAAAAGGTGTTGGCCACCTGAATGACCGCCGGATTTGTCAAGGCTGACAGGCAAATTGACTCTCTGGCAGTCAATCAGCCCCAAATTGTCAAGAGTCATGCAAGATATGTAAGTCGCCTGGAAATAGGCGAGCAATTAAAGCCATTTGCTACTTTAAATGGGTTTTATTTTCTTTCCAATAGTATTGTTTATTTTGCTGCCAATTACGTGGCATCTGTTGTGTGCTTTTGCCACTGTTGCATTGCTGCAACTTATTTATTTTCACCGGCACAAATTTCGCTTGCGTTTCAACCGCACTGGGCCTTGTTTTCTTGTTTATTTTCTTCGGTTGTTTTTCTTCACATGGCTTATCGATTGCCTGAGCCCAGCGATTCGTTTAATTTATTTTAATCTAATTGTTTTATAATTAAAAAATATTTCTATTGGATTTCACCAGTGCGTGTCAAAAGTAAACACACTTGCGGTTGCCGTGGCATCTGCCAGCAGTTTAAAGATTTGTTTTTGCAGTTGCCGTCTACTTGCTACTTGGTCGCTAATTATATTTTAGTTATGTCTCCTGCTGTTCCTGCTGCTGCTGCTGATTCCCAAAAGCCGCACGATACGGGATAGCAGTGCACTTCGTGGCTGATTTTCATGACAGTTATGAAAATGTTTTGTGGTTCACAAATGTGGTGCATACTTTGCGGCGGAAGAAGTATACTGTATCTGTGGTATACTTCCAGGAGTTGACTCACAACGCAGTGGAGCCTCGTAAATGAAGAACACGATATTTTTGAATACATTTTACAAATAATAAAAGATATCAAGTGCATAGAAATAATATTATGTATCGAATCATTTTTATTTTTGGGTTTCAAACTAAAGAGCTAATGGCATCGAATCGCTTGCTGATAGACCAGTATTTGTATCGCCCAATATGAATTCCAATCAAAGCCAAGTTTCTGTTAACTTCCCATTAGACATGCATACTTCACCTGCCCCAGTCCCAGCCCCACGCCCCACGCCCCACCCAATTCACTTAACAATTGCTGCTTCATTCAATCAAGTCGATTCCGTGCAGTACAATGCACATTGCATCGTTGGGCCCATTGTTGAATGTGCGGCAAATAAGACTCTTCTAATGATGATGATGATGATGCTGCACAACAATCAATTATAACAAGTTTCCGATTCGAATAGAGATACAGATAGAGGAGCCGCATTTGGATTCGGGTTCAGATTCACGTTAAGCCACAATGGGCCCCACTCAGATGAAGCGAATCGAACTGTGTCTGCTCAGCACTTTCCTCCACTTCCACTTCCAATGAACCTGAATCTGAATCTGAAGCTGATGATCTGCTGCCAAAGGGAGAGACTTTCTTTTTATTGCCGTCAGTATGGCCGACACCGAAACCGACACCGACACCGACTCCGATTCCGTCTCCGACACAAGGCAAATGTAACGAGCTCAGATCAATTTTCGGTTCAATAACGTATTGACTTGACTTTTTTGTTGTTGCGGTAATGTATTTAGTTTTTTACTTCGTTTGGGTTTTCCAGAAAATGTTTGTTTGTGTGTGTTTGTGTTGGACAACAATATGATAAATATAAAAATTAATACATTGAGAGTGAAAGTTATTGCTTTTGGAGCGCAGTTGATCATTATCATCATCATTGTGATCATCGCTTCCAAATGGAGCGGGGCAGTGGCAGAGAAATGGCGATAATGACGATCGAAGTGGGATTTCGAGATGCTGAAAAGGTGATTTCTTTCCGCGGCTCTGATGGACCAAAGTCACGTTAAGTTGATTAATAAATTTTGTGGTATTACAAAATACCCAAAAGATGGCCATGCTGTTCGTTTGTTGGCTGTTGGCTTATGAAATCCACAGAAGACTCTCTTTGGTAGCCTCTTTCTAATTAAATGATGGCCTCGCAGACACCCCGATTTGTTTTACACGCTAACCAAGGCACCCTGTTACCATTTCTACGGTCGGGCGACCCATTTTTATGACCGTTGCATGAGCAGTCCAACGCAAATTGCTACTAAACGTCTTCATTGCTCATCTATGGGGCGGGGTAACTTTCGCTTTTTTCGCTTTTTTCGCTTACACGCTTCCCCTCCTCAGTGGCGTGTCGGTGTCGGCTAATAGAGTTGTTTGGGCCAGAGAACCGCAGATCGTGCAGGGTACTAGGTGTGTGGTAGGAACAAGCCCAGCAGCACTTTGACCACTTCTAATTTGTATAATTTGGTGGCACTGGATAGCTGCCGTTGAGTTGAGTGAACCATTCCATCCCAGAGAGAGAGAGAGAAAGAACCAGCCGAGCGCATCCCACGGCTGGTCGACCAACTGACCGTTGAAAATTGAAAATTGCAACGGCCACTGAAGAAGAAAATTGCACGGAAAAAGCAGACGCAAACGCAAAGCCAAAGAAACGCGAACAGAAAGCATTTTTCTTTCCAGTTTTCAGGAGCGGAGCACCATTGTTTTAATTTACAATTGTACAATTGTGACAATTTGGATTCCGAGATGCTTCACTGCCCTCTCGTCTGGCCTGGGCAGGCCGGCCTTTCTGGGCCCTTGTGGGAAAGTGGCCTGGGAAATGGCGACTATAAAATATGACCAGGTGATTGTCAAGGCTTTTAGTTGAACTTGGATCGTATTGCCAACATGTTCCGCGTCTTGCCACTACTCTGCCTTCTTCTGGGCATCGCCACTGCCCGGTCGGAGAACTGCGATCATGACGTTATTGCCCCCACGCTCTTCTGCCGAGGAGAGCGCGCCCTTCGCAACGTCCTGCGGAACTTAAACAAAAGCGACAAGCCGCTGGAGGTGGTCCGTGGCCTGGAGATTGTGCCCCTGCAGAATGCCACATCAGTCGAGGAGGATTCGGAGCAGGGCCTGCTGGACAGTCTGGCCTTCTATCTACGGACCCACGAGGTGAATGTGAAGCTGGCCTACCTACTGGAGGACGACAGCAAAGGCGAGGTTGCAGGTGGGTTTGTTTTGGATTAAAGTGGCAAAAAGAATAATTTTATTATATGTCAAACAAGAAATTTGGTGTTCGTGGATGTCTAGGCTCCACACATGTACGAGTATGTCAGAGCCACATAGCAAAAATATTTGAGCCACAAACTGGACGGCACAAAGACTAGAATTTGCATGGATTCCGACATACGTAGAGCAGAAAAAACTAAAACCAAAAGAAGTCCAGTCATAACTGTGGGGCATTTTTCTTTTTCAGAAGCCCGCAAAAAGGACAAGGGCCAGGGAATGATTTTGGCAATGGCGTTGATGTTTGGCAAAATGATGGCTGTTCTGGGAATTGGGGGCATTGGAGCACTGGCGATGAAGGCGCTCGGCGTGGCGATGGTAGCCCTAATGATGGCTGGAATGCTGGGTCTGAAAACAGCAGCGCAGCACGGCGGAGAATCCAGTCACAGCATTTCATACGTAACCGGAGAGGGACATCATCACAAACGCCGGCGGCGTTCCACAATGCAGAAGCCCGTCGCAGTCGCGGGTCAGCAACCCATGGCCTACAGGGGCTGGAATTGAATCCCCGCTGTTGTTGTTGCGCTCTTTGTTAGTACCTATATATAGCATATTAATAACTTATCCATCATGCAATAGACACACACAAGTTTTTTTGTTTCTGTTCCCAAACGAATAGAGTGCAGTGGCGAGACACTCGAGAGATGGACTCTGGACAGTCGAGTCGCTCTTTTGCTACGGTTTCTGCTGCTGTTGCTGCCTTGGATGCTGCTGCTCTTCGGTTTATGAAATCGGTGAAAGTTTATTTGAGCAGAGCTCGTATTGTGCTGCCAGCATCAACAGCACAAAGCTGGAGGCACCAGAAGGCAACCTACACATGGCCACTGCCACATCAGTTGTATCTGTCGCTATACACTGGCTTCGGACTGGGACACACAGTTACTCAGGAAACTTGGAATTTTGTAATGCAATTTTCTTTAGGACATCAGAAAAGACTCCAGGAAAAAGTAGGAACGCTCTTCCGTTTAACTACTCTTTAATTTAATATGTTAAACAGGAAAATATGGGGTACATTGAAGAGCATTAGGCGTTCGTCGTGCCAAAGAAAGACGTCGTATGCATGTTGTCATCATTTGTCAGCCAGCTTTCTTGCACTCTTATCGATGTTTGGTCCAAGATACCGGATATCAGAGTTCAGATACTTTTCAGCTGGAGATTGAGATTAAATCTGAACTTTTATTTTCGGTGGAATCTGGTACACGAACACAGATACAGATACGAGTGGAATTTGCATAATGCGTGGCCAACTTTCACTGTATTTTGGCAGCAGCTCAACGGTTCTTTCTGGTGCCTCCAACGGTCGTCGGACGACCACCTAAACTGCCATGGGCAACAGTAACAAGAAATAACTGCCATGACAGGCCCGAATTTTTTGGTTTTGGGCACGCTGCGTTCTGTTACACAATATCATTAAAAGCAACAGCAACCACAGCACTCGAACAGAAAACCCGTTGAGCGCTCGGCAGGGATACCACCATTCCACCGTACCTCATGCCATGCCTTACCATACCCGAGAGCAACTTGCTCTACCTCTACCTCTACCACTCCGTCTGGCTCTGCCTCTGCTTCTGCCTCGAACCTTGCGCCTCTGCCTAATTGCTGTGTCTACTACGGTGGCTACTCTGGTGGCTGCTGCCGCTGCTGCTTCTTCTGCGGCTTTTTCTGTTGCCTCTTCTGCTGCGGCTGCTGGTAACTTTCCCTTTTCAACGGTGGTTTACGAGCTCGACTTGAGCTCGCGTTTGGTCAACGTCTCGTCTGCCGCTGGTAATTAAATTATAAAATAAGTTCATAAAAGTGTATTTCTTGTTTTACAATTTGTATAAGATCTCCACACACTGGAGTTTATATAAACCACAAGAGTAAGTAGTTGCGCGAAATAGAATCTCTAAATTGGATATCGTTCAGGCATCCCACCAGTTGGTTGACAATAAAACCCCAATGCCTTCGACTGGGTTTATGAGCACGAAAACTTTAAAGATGATGATGACGACGACGACGTGTGTGAATGCTGGCTTCGGTCCACACTCCACTGCATAAATGAAAGTTCATAAAGAAATTAGCTGATTAATCGTCGTTCGATGAGCTTGGAAAATGACCAAGACAAGACGAGCTGGGGCTGAAGCTGATGCCGAAACTGACTGAAAGTGTCACGCAGCCTACATTTTAGTCGCTGCCACAAAATTTCACTTTTCAATGATGCTGCGCTGCCATCAGCTGAGCGCTCCCCGTTTCGAATGTAAATTAATATTTAACCCAAATACCGCAAATTCTTTATACGAAATGCTGCGCCTCCATATACTCGCACGAGTATCGGCTGAGATGGAGGTCTGGTTTGGGCCTAAATCGTAGTCGGAGTCGGAGTCTGTATACATAATCTTCTTTTTTTGGTACCAGCATTATTATGCAAATTTCGGATTAATTCAAATGACCGTAAAAGGGAAAATCTGTTCTATTAACTTGACATTTTTATGGTTTTGTGAAATCTTCGGGGTGTGTTGTGGGTTTTGTCTCCAAGTTACTTTTACTTATTAAATTATGCAGCTCCGATGTTAATCTGAAAGGAAGCTGCTGAGGAAAGTAATTATTTAATTAATATTTAATCGAAACTCGATAGCCAATTATCTTTAACCGGAGATTGTGAGATTCCCCCGACTCCTTAATACGTACTCGTGTAGTCCTCTGGTCGAATATCAGGTTTTATTCTTTTTTTCTTATGCAAACTAAATTGCATCATCGCATTTCACTTTCCTTGATTCCTTGACACCGTTAACCAATTTATTTTATTGCAAATATTTCACATATAAATATATACATATCTGCTGCCTGATGTGTGTCCGCTGCTACGGCTGCTGTGTGAATATGGCTTACTTCTGACCACGACTTTCACCGAAAAATTTCTGCTATTTATTCATTAAATTTTTGCTGCTCTGGTGCTGGTGTTGGCCCTCCGATGCCTTTGTTAGTGGTTCTGCTTGTGCTGTAGTTGTTGTTTAATAATACACACGCGCACACTTACATGGAGAGATACGGCATTCTTTTTGCATGACCACTTTGAAAAAAAAAAACTTCATATAAAATTAAATGTAAAATCCACAAGAAATTTTTGTAGCTTTGCAAACGCAAACAAACCCGCAATGTGGCAATTGATTGGCAAAATACGAGCCAGGGCCAGGTGGAAAAAAGATGTCAGCAAACAATGTGAAATGGTGCTGCCAATTGATTCGCTGTTCAATCAGTCTTTCACTGCTTTTGTTACTGTTGGTGTTGCTGCTTTGGTACGGTACATCAACATCACCGTTAACTGCAACGCCAGCGCCGGCGATAGCCATCAAAGCTATGAAGCTTCGTCTCTAATTGGTGGACAGACTGTTCCGTAACGCATGCTTTTCCGCCAGCCAGTCAGCCAGTCAGCCATCCCCGGCGATGATTTCGATGCTTATGCAAATCAGTCGAAAAATAAAAGGAAAAAAACTTTCACGGCTAAACATTTTGACTTTAATTTAATTCAAATGGCCAGGAAAAATAACAACACAACAACGGCCGACTGCTGATAAATAATACAGTAAAATTATCTCTGTGTGGGACACAACGGTCATCCCAGTCCCCGCCGTCATCGTGGTCTCGCAGTCGTTCGACTAAACTAATGATTTTGGAGCCCAAATTGATGTCAGCCAAAATGAAAGTGAGAACACGATGATATCTCCCCATCCAATGATGATGGCTGGGCCTTAAAGTAATCTTCCATTTAAATCAGCTCTCAGATCTCGGATCACCGATCTGCTGGTTGGCCATTGCCGTTGGCCTATAAGTAATGTAATTATGTAGATTTCCTGGATTGATATTTGCTCACATTTTGGGGTGCGTGCAACCAACTTTCTTAAGATACTTTTAAGATTATAGCTTAAAATAAAAACAGTTACAATTTGATTAATGTCCAAAACTATGTAAATTCCCAGTTGGCTTTTTATTTTATTTTATTTTATTTGTTTTTATTTTCTATGTATGAAATATTTTCATACACTTCTGATTTCCGTTCAAAAACCATTGTGCTATAGATTTTTGCCTGCTGTTGAATGTGTCCTGAATTTTTTGTAAATATTTGTCTTAATTAATCCTTGAAATAATACTTATAAAATATCCATTGACATATGACATCCCGATTCCTCTTGTTCCACTCCTTGAAAGAAATGGAAAATAAATAAAATGTGAAAAAGCGTCTGTTTATTTTAATGGAAAAATGGTTTTCTACCGTTGGGTCACTTTGGGTGTCTTATGTAATATTCAGACACCCAAGCAGAGCATGGTTTTTTCTTTGTTTTTGTCGAGCATTTCGAGTTATTTGGCAATTTGTTTACCCTGCTCTGTGACAGCCATAAACAATAACAACAGCAGCGGCAGTGGCAGTGGCAGTGCCAGTGCCAGTAGCAAGAAAAGTGGCAAGAGCAACACCCCAAACATAGCAGCAACAACGGCAACGGCAACGGGAACGGCAACAGCCATAACATCATGCAGTGGAGGGTCCGTCCAACTACGAGCGAAATTCATTCATAAACAGCACACATTGGTCGACACTTGGACGGCTGCTTTTCGCATGAATGGCCTGCTGGCCATGCCTGCTGGCTGGCTTGGCTGTTTGTCTGTTCGGCCATTGGCCATGCCATCGGACGAACGCTGGCACATGCCAAATGGCTGGACGCGTTCGGCGTTCGGTGTTCGGCGCGTGGACCAACATAAGTTTGTGGTAAAACGGATGTGCATCGGGGTGTGATTGAGTGCACAACTAAGTGTGTGCGCTTGCAGCGCAGCTATGTTTTATGTTTGTGGCGCACACTGAACTCATTTGCATTCAAATATATGCCAATTGCCATCCGGTGAAAATTGAAAACAAAATTTCGACTTGAAGATGGACCCCAGACCCCAGACCAGACCACAGGCTTTGTTGTGTTGCCGCTTTGATTTTCTCTTGTGGCCATGCGGATGCTGCACCCTTTAGTTACGAAATGCTCCGATGGGTGTTCAGCTTTAAGCGCTTTATGCTGTTACCGTTACTACCATCTACGTCACATGGACCGGCCACGAAAGCTGATTAAAGTGTGGTAGAAAATTACACATACGCCCCACTGGCAAGCGACAATTTGGCATCCATTATGCGCATGATTCAGGGGTTTCATAAGCCGCACAACAGATCCGTCTGATAGTGTCGGATGTCGTCAGCCACATTCACCTTGAAACGGGAGCCCGAATCGGAGTGCCAGCCATTGACTCTTGGCCACTGCGCCTCGCCTCGTGAATTCGACTTCAACTCTGTGCTAGCAATGCCCGCAATGCCAGCCATTCCCAACAAAACAACCAACCATCCATCCATCCATCTGTATATCTATCTCATCTCATCTCTCTCCTCGCATCCGTTTCAGTGTGCTCTTCGTGTAATTTCTCTTTCATTTCACTTGAGCAATTGAAGCGCGTTGTTATTTGCACTTTTGCTAAGCTCAAATTGTTGACTAATGTGTCACAATTGCAGAGTCAGGCAGTTTTTAATGGTTGTGGCCCAAAGCAGCGTTTTCACTTGCTGAGTCGACCCCATAAGTCTATAAGCGAATGTGGCCCAAACCCAGACCCGGGCACAGGTAAAGAACGTGGCATATCGTATATCCTGATCAAATCTTCCTGCGTCCTGCTGCCCTAGTTGCATAACCGACGATATAAATCACAGTTTATGTTGCGTAATAAAACCTAACCGGCAACAACAATAACTAAAATGGTAGCAGCAGCAACAATAAAGCCACGAAAATGAAAAGTAATTTCAAGGCGCGCACATGCGATAAACCAAAAACTATTCCCAGTCTGCCCTGCCCTGACGGCCCTCCCGTCACCCCTCGCATGCGGTGGGGAACGGAGATGACACACAGTGGAGACCAGGGGCCAGAAATAACAGTAGTATGAAAATATAATACATACAACTTTCATTTCTTGCGGGCAAAAAAACGGAGAGGAGAAGAGAAAAAAAACAAAAGCGTTCAAAATTAACAAAAGCAGAAGAATATGACATACATATGGTTGTAAAGAGGGCGGGGGAGGGGAAATGGGAGAGAAAAGAGCATAGACCATCCGATCCGGGAGAGAGGCAAGAAAGGCTGCTGTTGGTGCTCTCTGCGGAAGGTTAAGCGGCTGCACAGCGCACCTGTTTATCACCTCATGTGTTGTAATCTGTGCGGCTCCAGAAACAAAAGCAGCAGCACCAGCCACAAGCATCTAAAAATATACGTATTTACTACGTATACGTAGATGTTTGTTGTGTGTGTTTGTAGAATGCTACAAAAGCCACTACTCTCTGCTCATGTGTGTGTGTGTATGTGTGCGAAGATGAGCAGAAGAGTCTCGTGGATATGTGTGTGTGTGAGTAGGCGCGAGAGCAAGCAGACAACCTTGGTGCTGGCTGGAGCTGGCGCGCATGCTCTCTCTGAAGAAACTTTCTCGCGCTCACACAGAGCCCTGTGAAGCCGCCGTCTCCGCTGCCGCAGCCGCACATTGACGTCGCCAGCGACTTTCTTTAATGCGGAAGCAGACAAAAGCTTGTAAGCGCGCTGCCTGCGCCTGCCTAATGCGTCTTCTAAGCGTAGATGCTGAGATGCTGGCACTGCCGCTGCCGCTGCTGCCGCTGCTGCCACCGCTACTGGTGCTGCTGCCATTACTGAGCGAGAGAGCAGCAGCAGACACGTGTGAAGACGTTGCCGTCGCGGTCGTGTCGTAGGGAACGCCGAGCCCTCTCGCATTGTACGGGCGGCATATATCCGCTGTCGGCGTCGCTGCGCTGCCTGGGTCTTGGCCTGGCCCGGCTCTGATCTGGCTGTGTGGCTCTGTGTGTGTGCACTTTTTACATAATTTTACGTTATGCCGCGGCAAGGCATCCGTTAGGTTGGAAACTCTTTAAAAACAGCCTGACAGCGTCGAAAAATTATCAAACCGCAGCTTGTTCCATTCGAATGAACACACAGTGATTTCGGTGGTGCCCAAGGAATTCAGTTTAGTTCAAAACCAACACACAACCATGAAGTTCTTCATTGCCACCGCTTGTGTCCTGCTCTTGGCAGCGGGCATCTCGGCCGATCCTGTCAAGGCCGCCACCGAGGAGCAGTCGGGTGCATTTGCCAAGTGCCTCGACACCGACTCCATTTCGTGTCTGCAGCTCACGGTACGGATTAACCATCAAGGATTACATTGCCCATTTATCTATACTAAAACCCGCCCAATAAGAACACTCTAAATTGGCACAGTGAAAGTGAAACGCCCACAAAAAAAGAAAAGAAAACTATAATTTGTACCAATCATCAGCATCAGCTGATGTGATCGATTCGATCTCAGTGAAAGTCCCTGTGTCATGTGATTTCCCCAGACATACATAAGCAACACAAAATTCCCCAAGGATGCGAAAGTGAAAGTGCAAGACCTTGAGTCATTCTCTGCGGAGTGTGCCTGCACTGCAGCAAATTAACCATAAAACAAATCAAGTCAACATACCACCACGAGTTTTGCTAATCTGTGCCTTCCTTCCGTGTCTCCCTTCTTTCTCTGCAGCTCTTCCGCAAGGCAAAGTCCATCTTCGACAATCCCCAAATCGAACTCTTCGGCGGCGTCTCTCTGGTCAAGGCCAACGAAGGACGTCAGGGCAAGTCTCTAGACAACTCGGTCGCCGTCGAGGCCGCCCCAACTGTGGAGGCCCGCACCGCTGAGATGGGCAACTACTTCATGGACAACGCCAAGAGCTTCTTCGCTGAGCGCTCGCTGAACTTCAACTTCGCCAATGCTGCCCGCAGCGTTGCCCGCGCCATTCCCGATGACATCAAGGCTGATCTCCGTGAACTGGTTGTGGAGTCCCGTACCCGCAAGAAGAAGCTCCTCAAGAAGTTCCTGCCAATCCTGTTGGGCGTTGGTGCTAAGATCGCTGTCCTCGGCGTTGGCTCCATCTTCGGTCTGCTCTTCCTGGCCAAGAAGGCTCTGGTTGTGTCCGTTATCGCCTTCTTCCTAGCTCTGGCTGCCGGCGCGTCCAGCGGTCTTGGTCGCATTGGCGGCTCAGGCGGCAGCGGTGGTCTGCTCGGCGGTCTGGGTGGACTTTTCGGTGGCAAGAACGCCGGTAGCTCCTCGTCTGCCAGCTCCGGTGGTTGGTCCTCGGGCGGCGGTGCCCCCGCCAGCAATGGCTGGTCCTCGGGTGGTAGCTCTGGCTGGGATACACATGGTGCCTACAGCTCCCCAGTTGCCCAGACCATCGCCTACCAGGGCTACAAGCAGGCCAGGCGGTAAGCTCTGAGCCCCATATCCCCTCGAAGCAGGACCCCATCGATGTCCGGGTCCGTGAAGGAGAGAGAACATTCGCGAAAATGATGACCAGTTAATTAATGCCTATATTTATATTTACTTATAAATTATTTATTTTAATTTATTTACTTGAACGAGACGAGAGCGGGGCGGCGGTCGCTACTGGCTGTCGCACCCCAACAAAAAGTGCCTTCCATTAGTAACTCTCGGCCCAGAGAGCCACCACTACAACCACACAAACACACACCACCACGTTTCATCTACACCAATAACACCAGCCACAATGAAAACAACAACCGTCAACAACCTCCACCGCCTTTCTACACACCCAAATTTCATTCCTCTCTTCACACTTCTTCACCCTCTAGAGCTCTCTACAGCTCTACACTCTATACTCTTTCTGTAATTTCACGGCTGCACCTCTGATTAATGGACTCTCAGTGTTTGCAACCGACTAGTCGCGTCCATCAATCAAGGTCAGCCGCCGCCTTCTCTCCCTACCCATCTAACTGTAACTGTCTTTCATATCTTTTCACTATACATCTATCTGTCTATCTATCTATATATCTGTCTTTCTTTATCTACATCTGTACCTTTATCTAAATCTATCTGATTTTTCCAACTTTACCGCAAAGGAAAACTCAATCAAATGCTGATAAATCAAAGAATCAAATAATAATTCAACATAAAAGAAAAATCCTATACACAAATTGACTATCTTTTCCATATACTCCTACTATCTTCCTATCTTTCTTTTTCTATACAGCCATCTCTGTCTTTCTGAAAAAACTTTTCCCTTTCAATTTGCATACGCAACCTTTCATTCTATCTCTTCTGCAATCTTAACAGCCTCTCCAAAACATCACTCATACGCCTGGTTGTCTGGCCGAGCAATTTGCATTTGAATGGCGCGAGCAACTTTCATTTCATTCTTTGCTATCAGACACAAAAATCGAACTCTGAAAATGTTTTCTAAAATTTCACCCACTTATTTCATTTTTTCCTCCATCTCTGCCTACTCTTCTTCGTCTTCATCTTCTTCCTCTGAATCTTCATTTTCACTGCACTTTCTTCGGCTGTGCTCTCTGGGGTCTCTCATAGCCAGAATACGAACAAAGCAATTTGCTAAAAATAAAAACAAACATTTAGCTACGCGCATTTTGGCTCATTCAAGGCGGGGCCGAAGCCAAAGCTGTCCAAGGCACCAGACCAGGCAACAATGGGCACTTGTATTTTAATATTTTTCACCTGCCATTCTGGCTATTGTTGTGCGTCGCTTAACACCTTTGCCTAAAGAAAGTTTGAGACGGGACGGGACGGGACGCCAGTTGAGGGCCTGGCTCAATTGAGCCTAAGTAACTGCAGTTGCTGGCAAAACGGCACTTTACAGCCGCCGCTGCCGCCGCTGATGGGTGCTTTACTTATGAATATGACCCAGTTACCAGGCTCGCTCTGCGATGGAGAAGTCGATTGGGATGCTGATGCTGTCGATGTAGATGCTGTGAGCTGTGCACGTAGACAGATGCCATTGACTGCCTCTGACTCTGACTTCTGCTTGCGTTCTGTGTACTTTGGGCCCTGGCTTTCTTTACTCGTACGCCAGCAATTAATGTGTCGCCGACTGCTTTCTGAGCACTTTTCTATGCTCATTTGGGCCGCATCGTATCTGGCCGCTTCACAGTGTTTTGTTGTTTGATTTGTTAAGCATCCAAAATTCTGCTTTTTGCTGTCGTTTATAGCACTGTTTCTTCTTTGGTAGTGGGCACACATACTCGTGCACACGCTTGCTCAAACAACTCTCTCATGACTCGGTTTTTTCGGGTTGGTTGTTTGTTAAGTGAAATTTCTAAGTAGTACTCCATTGACGGTGTCACGCTTAAAATCAATTGCCATTGTCCAGATAGAGATACACAGAAACATGTCTGGTTCGACAAGTCATTCCCGTGTGTCAATCACACCCAAGAAAAGGCAGTGAAAGACAATCAATCTCCAACACAATCGTGTCATAAATGTTCTGCCTCTGAGAAAAGGGAAAGTGTGAGGAAATCGATGTAGCTGCAGGGTCGTTTGTGAAAAATCATTCTTCGCATAATTTTGATTCAATCAATTTGAGTCTTAGCCTGGGGTGTCCTGTGCAATCCATTCCTTAAGATTGAAATTAATTTCTAAAGAATGGAATAAATCGCCCTTGCGGCAACAGCATACAATTTAAATAGCTCAGACACCTTTCATATTTCAAATGAATGAAATGTGTTAATCCGCTGGGCGGTTCAGTGGAATCCGTGACGAAGTCAGAATAAACAATATAAAACTTTGCGATTTCAAAGAAAATTATTTTTATTTTTTTGCGATTAAGACTTGAGATGCCGATATGGTCTAAGCTTTTGATCTAGTGGCGACACCTATTTAAAGAACTACCGTTACCGAAACTCTACGTAAATTATACACAACGATCGTTTGGTTGGATTACAACTCTGCTTGATCTAAAATCAAAGCTTTCGGTTGCAGATCTTTGATAAAAGCTTTACTAAAAGTTCGGAGCATAAAAGCTTCGAAAAGCTTCAAAAATATCGATACTACTGATCTACCTCTTGCACCTTGCAAAATTACATGTAAAAGTCATGTAGAAATTCCTTTCGATCCTTCATTAAAACTCTGAGAAAATAAAATCCATATATAATTTCTTTTGCCAATACACTGGGTATTGGACTATTTTTATACCCGATACTCAAAATGAGTATTGGGGTATATTAGATTTGTGGTGAAAATGGATGTGTGTAACGTCCAGAAGGAATCGTTTCCGACCCCATAAAGTATATATATTCTTGATCAGCATCAATAGCCGAGTCGATTGAGCCCTGTCTGTCTGTCCGTCTGTCCGTCCGTCCGTCCGTCTGTCCGTCCGTCTGTCCGTCCGCTTCAGCGCCTAGTGCTCAAAGACTATAAGAGCTAGAGCAACGATGTTTTGGATCCAGACTTCTGTGATATGTCACTGCTACAAGAATAGTTCAAAACTTTGCCCCGCCCACTTCCGCCCCCCCAAAGGACCAAAATCTAGGGCATCCACAAATATCAGAGACTAATAAGGCTAGAGTAACCAAATTTGGTATCCGCACTCCTGTTAGATCTCACTATAAAACGTATATCTCAGAATTTCGCCCCACCCCCTTCCGCCCACACAAAGGACAAAAATCTGTTGCATCCACAATATTGCAGATTCGAGAAAACTAAAAACGCAGAATCATAGATAATGACCATATCTATCAGGTTGCTGAATCTGGATCAGATCAGATAATTTTTATAGCCAACAGGAACAAATCAATTGTCAGTGGCTACGAAGCGCCCGACGTCACGCTCAGACTGATTTTCTGTCTCTCTCGCACGCACTCTTTGTCGTGTCGTTTAATTTTAGCGGCGTCTGCCGGAGGAGAGCCATACTGACTTAGTATCGGGTATAACTGTAGAGTTGCGGTGTCCGCAGCAACTCACAACGTTCTCCCTCGTTTTTATTAAAAAATTTTCAAACTTTGTCGAACTTTTATTTTTAAAATTAAGAAAGTGTTGTTGAAAATACTCCACAAAAATACACAAAGCTTTGCCAAACAAAATTATCAAAAATTATATATTCGTATATATACCCACATCTTAAGATCGATGTATAAATATACATATATACTATGTTCATATATATGTATTTGTGAACAAATATATTATATTATAAATCCCCCATTGTAATTCAAACCATGTAAGGAATCATTCTAAAGAAGCTGCCAAATGAGCTGAGAGCAAACTTTTGATTATTCTTTTTTTTAAAAGACCGCTTAAATTAACCTAAAGAAAATAAATATAATGGAATAGAATAGAAAAGGGAATTCCTTCACTCATTCCTGATTTATTTGCCTTTGTCAGAGCCTTTTACGGTTTGGAAAACCTGTAATCTGGCGTGGAGTGCTAGTGCTGCAGCCGTTGCCCAGTCCGAGAGCTTTTCCGGTTTGGCGGATGGCAGTTGGCGGTTGGCGGTTAGTGGCAAGCGGTTGTCGGTTTGGAGTTTGTAGTTGGTGGTCGCCACTTCTCTTGGGTCAATGTACACTTTACGGATTTGGCTTTGAAACGCTGGCCATTTCACTTCGCAGTGGCAGGGACGGAACCGCGTCCGATGGCTGGTGCAAGGTGCCGGGTGCTAGGAGGCCAGGTGCAGTGCAGTCTGTGAAAGTGTTGCAACTTCCATAGGTGGTGGGATATGTTCATATTATGGTGAGGCCTGACATTGAATAATACAGTCGCCAGTGCAGGGTCGCCAGTACGGATCAGAGTGGAAACAAAGCAAATGCAATGGATCTGTGCCTGGGCCAAAAGCAGTAAAGGTGTGATTTTCAAGTAGCATTTACAACATTTCGCACAATGCTAAGCCCCGGCAGAAGTGTGAAAGTTGTCAGTTTGCCATTGCCAGTGGCCATTGTCAACATATTAACGAATGGAACGGGGAACCAAACAAGACGATGATGTCCATCATAATGATCACTGGTTGACTTGGACAACTTGTTTAACGATTACAAAGCGTGCAATGGAGAGTTGAGTTGAGTTGCTTTTGGCCAACAAAAGAACAAATGTCGACCGACGACAACGAAAGTGAAATGCTTCCTCCACTCTGCTCAACTCGACTCGATCATAATTACGACAATGACAAATTTTTCGTAATGAAATGAAATTGAATTGCCTTGAAAGTGAAACCTGAGCAATTAAAACGGCTATAGCCACGCCCCTGTTGCTGCCTTCGAGCTTTCGTTTCTTGGTGAACTTTTTCTTGGTTTTTTTTTTTTTTGCTTCTAGCTCTCTTTGCCGTTTCCTCCCCTCCTCCGTGATCTTTGGCGATTATACAATCTGGGCGGAGCTGCAGAAAGGAGCGCAAGGTATTTGCATTTCATGATTCGGCAATTTTGGGCAACAAAAATTTTAGAAAAGAAAGACAAAGCCAAATCCCAAGC